CCGCCTGCCTGAGAGTCTCCCACCTCTGACTCCCCACTCTCCAGCACCTTGTTCTACGTAGCACCACCCTCATGGTATTTCAGCTTTTAAAAGCCCTGCCTGTCAGCCTAAATTCCTCTCCGGTTTGCATCTGGATATATCTTCCCATCCATCAGCTTCCTGAGAATAGTCTGCACCTGTCTCTGCTCTCTCCTTTCCTTCTCCACCTACCGTGGCCCTCACTGTACTCAGAGAACTTTCCCCCAGTCACCAGGTGACCCATCTTCTCAAACCTAGTGAGTGGGCATTTTTCTGTCCCTGGGTGTGATCTCCCTGTAGCTTTTTCCAGCTTTGGCCATTCCTCTCCCAGGATTCTCCTTCGCTGACAGACACAATACCTGCTTGCTTGCTTTGTCTTCTCCAGTGACCACTCTTCTTCCATATCTGTCATGGGCTCAGCTTCCTCTGCTTGACCTTCTCTGCTCACCCAGAGCCCCAGCTTCACACCCATCCACAGCCATGGCATCCAGATGAGCAGAGCCAGCCCACATGTCTCCCCTCCAGGGAAACTCTACATGGAGATCTTCCAGGCTCTTCAGATTCAGCATGTCCCAAACCAAACCCCTATCTGTCCCCATATCTGTTTTCCCTCCTTTGTTCCTTATTTCAGAGATTGGCACCATCCTCCCCAAAATAAAAACACACAAACAGATAACAAAAAAACTTGAAATAGGCTTGTAAAATCATGTAAATCATTCCAGGAAGATAGAAGGAAGACCATCCTGTACCATCCTCCCAGATGCCCCAGCCACAGACTCATGACCCTCACGCCCAGTCTCTGTGTCCTGCAGATTCTGCTCCCCCCGAAGGTCCAGCCCCTGCCTGGTGCTCTTCTCTCAGGCACTCACTCCTCCTGCTTGGGCTCCATGGTAGCTGCTGACTGCTCTCACTTCTATCCCAGCCCCATATCCAAATCTGTCTTCCAGCATGATAATCCTAAACCACACAACGTTACTCTGCCAGTATCCACCATATCTTCGCACAGTGCTCAGGAAGGACTTCAGATGCCTTGTCTGGCACTCAAGATCCTTCATAATCTAAACCAGAGGTCAGGAAATTTTCTGAAAAGGGCCAAATGCTGGACTATACAGTCTGTGTTATACTACTCAACTCTGCCCTGGCAGTACAACAGTCATAGACAGTAAGTAAATGAGTGAGTGTGGCTGAGTGCCAGTAGAAATTTGATTTATAAACATAGGTTGTGCCTAGATTGGGCCATAGTTTGACTTCTGAATAAACCAAGCCTGGCCAGTGGCCAGTTTTTTAGAAGTAGACCTGGGCCACATCCTTCCTAGTCTGTCTTGGTCTGGCAGCTCTGCTGAAACCTGTCCACCATGGACATGGACACCATGGACACCATGTTGGTATTTGAAATACCAATGCATTGCTTCTAGCATCACAACAACATGCAAGCCACATAGTACAACAAACAAACAAATAGGCCACTTAGAACCTTATGAATGGCAGTGAAACATTGTCTGATAAAGTGCTGGAAGATGAGCCCCTCAGATCAGAAGGCACTCAGAATACAACTGGGGAAGAGCTGACTCTTCAAAGTAGAGTAAGTCGTAATGACATAGATGGAGTAAAGTTTTGGGGACATTGATTTGCTGATGGGCATGACTCAAACTGAGAAGAAACAGCTGCAAACATCCATTAATAATTGGAAGATGGCATGTACAAAATATGAATCAAGGAAAATTGGAAGTTGTAAAAAATGAAATGGAATGCATAAAGATTGGTATCTTAGGCATCAGTGAGCTGAAATGGACTGGTATTAGCCATTTTGAATTGGACAATCATATGGTCTGCTATGCTGAGAATGACAAATTGAAGAGGAATGGTGTCTCATTCATTGCCAAAAAGAACATTTCAAGATCTGTCCTGATGTACAATGCTGTCAGTGATAGGATAACATCACACCTGCAAAGAGGACTAGTTAATAGTTGTGATAGTTGAAGATGTGTCAACTTGGCTGGACTCCAGTTGTGAGTGGTGGTTCCCATGATGGGATCAGATGACTGAGTTCTGAGCGGCCGGTCTGCCCAAGGGGAGTTTCCCCAGGGGTGTGGCCTACCTGCAATGCTATTCCAAGGACAAGCTGGAAGAACGGCATTCCGGACTATATACTTCCTTGAGTGAGCGGCTCGCCGCTCGCCCTGGAGGTTTCGGATTCATCCTTTGTTGGGAACAGCAACCAGCGTGCTGCGTGCCAGCTTGATTCTCTCGGCTCTGTTGTGCTTACGGGAACCAGGCGGCTCCGGGCCTCATCTCCTCCAGAGATGAACTTTGTGGCTTGAACTCCTCTGCCGTGCATGCGAAAGCCAGGTGGCTCCATGCCCCATCCCCCTCCAGACACGAACTTTTCAGCTTGAACTTGTCGGCTTCTACACGCTTGTGAGCCATTTACCTAAGATAAATCTCTCTCTCTCTCTCTTTCTCTCTCTATAAATATATATATACACTTTGCTGGTTTTTGTGTTTCTCTAGAGAACCCAATCCAACACAATAGTACTATTATTTAAATTGGCGCACCAAGGCCAAAGCAAAAGGAGAAGAAATTGCAGATTTTTACCAACTTCTGTAGTCTGAAATTGACCAACATGCAACCAAGATATATGGATAATTACTGATGAGTGGGATGCAAAAGTTAGCAACAAGCATCAGTAGTTCAAAAGTATGGCCTTGGGAATAGAAATAACACCAGAGATCACATGATAGAATTTTGCAAGACTAATGACTTCTTCACTGCAAATACCTTTTTCAAGAGCATAAATGGCAACTATATGCATGGACCTTACCAGATGGAATACACAGGAATCACTTTGACTACATCAGTGGAAAGAGTCGGTGGAGAAGTTCAGTATCATTAGTTAGAACAAGACCAGAGTCTGACTGTGGAATGGGCCATCAATTTCTCATATACAAGTTCAAATTGAAGCTGAAGAAAATTAAAACAAGTCCACAAGAACCAAAATATGACCTTGGGTATATCCCATCTGAATTTAGAGACTATGTCAAGAACAGATTTGATGCATTCAACACCAGTTACTAAAGATCAGACAAGTTGTGGGATGACATCAAGGACATCATATGTGAAGAAAGCAAAAAGGTTATTAAAAAGAGAAGAAAGAAAAGACCAAAATGGATGTCACAAGTAACTCTGAAACTTGTTCTTGAATGGAGACTAGCTAAAGTGAATGGAAGAAATGATGAAGTAAAAGAGCTGAACAGAAGATTTTAAAGGTCAGCTCCAGAAGACAAAGTACTATAATGAAATGTGCAACAAGCTAGAGTTAGAAAATGAAAAGGGTAGAACACACTCAGCATTTCTCAAGCTGAAAGAACTGAAGAGAAACTTCAAGCCTCAAATTACAATATTGAAGGATTCTATGGGTAAAATACATAATTGAATACAACCCTGACACACTTCCTTCCTAGTTTTAAACCATCCAGTATCCTCTTGTTCTGTTCGAACAACAGCCTCCTGGTCTGTGTACAGCTTCCTCATGAGCACAATTAAGTGTTCCAGAATTCCCATTCTGGAAGGCCTTCAGTATGGATTATGCCTCAATGAAAAGAAAATAAAAATCTGCACAACTGGACCAATAAGCAACATCATGATAAATGGAGAAAAGATTGAAGTTGTCAAGGTTTTCATTTTACTTGTATCCACAATCAACACCAATGGAGGCAGTAGTCAAGAAGTCAAATGACATATTTCATTGGACAAATCTGCTGCAAAAACCTCTTTAAAGTGTTCAAAAACAAAGAAGTCACTTTGAGGACTTAAGTAGCCTCATATCCATGTGAGAGCTGGACGATGAATAAGGAAGACGGCAGAACTGATGCATTTGAGTTGTGGTGTTGGTGAAGAATATTGAATGTACCATGGACTGCTAGAAGAATGAACAAATCTGTTTTGGAGGAAATACAGTCAGAATCCTCCTAAGAAATGAGAATGACTCAACATCTCTTGTCATGTTATCAGAAAGGACGAGTCCATGGAGGATATTATGCTTAGTAAAGTAGAAGGTCAATGAAAAAGGGGAAGATGCTCAACGAGATGGGTTGACAGAGTGACTGCGACAATGGGCTCAAGCTTGGCAATGACTGTAAGGATGGCACAGGACTGGGCAGTGTTTTGTTCTGTTGTATGTAGGGTCGCTTTCAGTCAGAACTGAGTTGATGGCACCTAACAACAACACACTCTCTAGGTTTATTTTTCATTGCTTCTATCTCCATTGTACTGCTTGCAGGTCCCTGAGCCTGTCTCTTCTTTGCCTTCATATGTGTGGTTCCTCTGAATGTTCTTAGCATCTCAGTTGTCCAGCCTGACTTCTAGTAAGTCCTCCTTTCCTTCCCTGACATATTCTCATACCTTCCTTTTTTTAAAAAGCCCTTGGCTTTTACCTCTCTAATTATGGCACTTGTTACCCTCTATTGAAGTGGCTATACTCACCTGTCTCCCCAGAGGGTAGACACACTCTCACTGCTTTGTGTATGCTGGCACCTAGCACTGTGCTTTGGTATGTAGTAGGTCTTAAATCAAATTGAATCTGAATTTCTGGAAGGATTGGTTCTGTGCATGTTGTGGTGAGTGACACAAAGGTGACTAAGCAGTGACTTCTGCCCTTAGGAAGGTTACCTTGCAGGCGCGGAAGGAAGGCTGATGTGGGAGCAGTCACACTGCTAGTGAGGTTGTGGAGAACTCTGAGGCCCACAGCCAGGCTCTTACGTTCTTCCCAGAATTTGACTCCCCCAGGGCTCTGCAGTGCTCTCACATCCCTGAGCCTTCTCTCCTCCCTGGGCCCCAGTCTGCCTTGAGGTGTGGGATCTGAGCTTCGGGCCTCAGCAAGGTTCCTGACTGATGACATCTGTCACCAGAATGAGAGTGTTGCCTCCCAGAAGTGTCTGAACCTCACTGACCCACACCTTCCTTCTCACCTTCCTCCTCACAGGAGAATCTTATGCTTTCCATCCTGCCCAAGCATGTGGCAGATGAGATGTTGAAGGACATGAAGAAAGATGAGAGCCAGAAGGACCAGCAGCAGTTCAACACCATGTACATGTACCGTCACGAGAATGTCAGGTGCGCTCAACCTATCAGGCCTGGGCGCTGAGGGTAGATGGTATAGGGGTCTGTAGGATCTGCCCAGCACTGTGGGGTCTGAGAGTTTTCCCAAGGGACTAAGAGCAAGGGCTTCCCCACCTTGTGAGCCTCACTCAGCTCCTTCACTAAACTTCTCACTCCCTATGGAGAAACCTTGTTGATAGATGGTGTTAAAGCTGAAATGTGCTTTAGATTACCTCTGGTCCAACCTACCATTTTATGAAGGAGGAAACACACCCAGAGCGGGAAAGTGAATTCTATGAGGTATCCCACCATTTGGGGCTGACACTAGGGATAGAACCTTGACCTCTGATTCCAAAACCCAGGCTCCTTTTAGAAAGGGTACCAGGAACTTGGGGTGGGGAAAGTGAAGCAGTGTGGGGTGGACCTCAGGTACCAGGACTGGGGCATGGGGTCCTGGGAGAGTGAGGCCCCTTGAGGGGAAGTTCTCAGGACAACATGCAGTGTCAAAACTCTGCATTTGCCCTGGAAGGGCCAGGGTCTTGCTGCCTGTGGGTTGGGAGTAGGAGCTGATAGTGGAGTCAGGCATGCTGACTGGTGTCTTACCTGCCTGTGGGCTCCCGTCTTCCTCACAGCATCCTCTTTGCTGACATCGTGGGCTTCACCCAGCTCTCTTCTGCCTGCAGTGCCCAGGAACTTGTGAAGCTACTCAATGAGCTCTTTGCCCGCTTTGACAAGCTGGCAGCAGTAAGTGCCCTCGACCCTCACCTGGCATTCAAGATGGGGGCTGCTCATGTGGCTTGTGTCTGGCTTCCTTGGCTATTATGGTTCTCTCCTGCCTGTCCTTCCTCTGCTTTCTTTTCCACTCCTCCATGGCTCAAGAGGGACTTTGGAACCAGTCCATGCCCTTTCCTTTCAGAAATACCACCAGCTACGGATTAAGATCCTGGGTGACTGTTACTACTGCATCTGTGGCCTGCCTGACTACAGGGAGGACCATGCCGTCTGCTCCATCCTCATGGGACTGGCCATGGTAGAGGCCATCTCGTAAGTGGGAGAGCTCATGGGGACCTGAGGGGACCTTCGGAGGGAAGAAGCAAGCTGTCTATGCTAGTCTGTCATGATGCCAGTCAGCCACACAGCCCAGAACTTCCCAAGGTGGTCCATTCAATCCATTTGAGGTGTGTAATGCTGGCCAATTGGGATATAGCATTAATTGTTAGGTCACTCCATCCCTGGCTTTGGAAAGTTGGGATGTGGCATACCTTTATCACAACTGAAATTGCAAGCCTTTGGAGGATGCTTTTCCAGCCTTCATTCACATTATTGCCGTTTTCCATTGAAAGCTGCAGCATCATGAAATTCATCACCCCCTCACATTTGCGGGAGGCATGGACTTTTCTCCTCTAACTGTTTTCTTGTCTCTCCTTTCTGTTTTTTCTCACTAGTTATCTAGTGCTGCTGTAACAGAAATATCACAAACAAAAATTTATTTTCTCAGTTTAGGAGGCTAGAAGTCCAAATTCAGAGTGCCAGCTCTAGGGGAAGGCTTTCTCTGTTGGTTCTGGCAGAAGATCTTTGTCTCCTTGCTACATCTGTGGGCCCACAGATCTCCCTTGGAGATCTACATGAGTCTTGGCATCATTCGTCCCCTGGGTCTAGGAGGTTCTCAACACAGGGACCCTGGGTCCAAAGGATGCACTCCACTTCTGGTTCTTCTTTCTTGGTGATATGGAGGTCCTTCTAATCTCTATTCACTTGTTTGATCTCATTTATATCACAAAAGAAATTGACTCAAGGAACAGCCTAATCAATCCTATAGATTGTATCTTGCCTCATTAACATAACTGCCTCTAATCCTGCCTCTTTAACATTGTAAACCAAAAAAAAAAAACCAAACACACTGCCATTGGGTTGGATATGACTCACAGTGACCCCTCCTTGGGTTTCTGAGGCAGTATCACTACAGAAGTCGATTGCCCCATCTTCTGAGGAGTGGCTGGTGGGTTTGAACTGCCAGCCTTCTGGTTAGCAGTCAGATGCCTTAGGCACTACACCATCAGAGCTCCTCATTAACATAGAGGTTAGGATTTACAACATATAGTATAATTACATCAGATCACAAAAATGGAGGATAATTACATAATACTGAGAATCATGGGTGACACAGTTCAATCCATAACACCCCCCAGACAGAAGTTCAGAGGTCACCATCCCCTTCTCTTGATTTGGAGCCCTGGTGGCACAGTGGTTAAAACACTCTGCTGCTAACCAAAAATGGTCAGTGGTTTGAACTCCACTGGATAAAGATGAGGCAGTCTGCTTCCATAAAGATTTACAGCCTTGGAAACCCTATGGGGCGGTTCTCCTCTGTCCTGTAGGGTCACTATGACTTGGAATCAACTTGATGGCAGTGGGTTTCTATTGAATTAGAAAACAAAAAGGATAGCAATGAAACAATTCTTGAGACCACACAGCATGTGGGGTGGCAGGCAGCAGACATGGATCTGAACACTGGTCTCTACTCCCAACCAGGGCTCTTGCCTCCACTGTGGCCCTCTCCTTCTGTGAGCTATGAGGACATTAAACTCCATCTGCCCCTTGCTCTTTGCCATTGTTGTCACTGCTCCAGGTAGCATGGACATCCCTAGGAGGTAAGGTCTCTCCTGTGGACTTAAAGTTTCTGAGTGCATCCTGGGAGACATCAAGCATGAAAGTGGACAAGGTTACTCCTTGCTAAGGCCTGACACGCTGCAGGGATGGAGTCTAGGACAGTAGGGCACACTCCTCACCACCCACCTTGGAGGCAGTGACTTTACACTTTTTCCAAGTTACAAATTAAGTGTCTACCTACAAAGAAGCAAATGCTGCCTTTGCCTCAGGGGCAGTAGTTCAAGTGCAGAAACTAACTTACACTCCACTCACCACCCGGTACGTCTCTGAATCCTATTTGTTTCTTCCTGGAGTTTTCAAGGGAGGAGACAGTCACAACACTTTTGTTCTCATCTGTGTCTGTAACACCTATAATAGTTAGTGCCTGGCACAGGCTAGATGCTCAGTGAAATACTAATTTCAAACAAGAGTAAATGAATAGGGAGAAAAGAGAAACCTCAAGAAGAACCTCACTCTGGTTTACATCCCCCTCAAAAATGGACACTGGCCTGAGGTTGCTGAATCTGACCTCAGCCTGGGCTGAGGTGCTGGCCGGTTAACTCTGCTGCAAGTTGCTCAGTGCAAATGCAGGCAGAGTTCTGGTAGCAGTAGTAGGAAGAGGCTCCCCCTTAGTGTGGCAGGAAGCAGGTCAGTAGAATCCTTCTGAGAGAGGGAGGGCAGGGAGATAGCCATGGAGCTGAGGCCATGCCATGACCCCACCTTTCTGTGTATACTGGGCAGGTATGTACGGGAGAAAACACAGACCGGGGTGGACATGCGTGTGGGGGTGCACACGGGCACCGTGCTGGGTGGCGTCCTGGGTCAGAAGCGCTGGCAGTACGACGTGTGGTCTACCGATGTCACCGTGGCCAACAAGATGGAGTCAGGCGGCATCCCAGGGTGAGCGCCCCTCCAAGTGGGCAGGTGGGAGGGTTGAGGAGGGAATTGTCACCATACAGCCCTTGGGGCTGAGGCCCTGATGGGAGCAAAGTGTCTTTAGATGAGGACCTCCTCCCATCCTGCACCCGCTCATGGCTGAGGCTAGCCCTCCACTGGGTACCTGCCCCTGGGGCCTGGTGCTGGATGTGGCCTCCCCTGCCTGGCCCTTCATGGTGGTCCATCCTCCCACCCCTTTACCTACACATGTTGCTGCTTGGCTCTGACGATGTCACACTGCAGTTACTCCACTATGCCAAGTTCTCCCCCAGGGCTGACTTCATTCCTGGTAGTGGTCACAACAAGCTCTGAGGCAGTGGGTGCCACTCACAGAGCACTTGCGCATCTTGCATGAGCTCCTCCATAGGATAAGCCAGTTACTCAGGGGCGCGGGCCCTGCCCTCAGGGTGGACAGACTGAAGGAGAGCTTCACAGGTTCCCTCACTTCCTTGAGGATAAACCCATCCCTGGCTGACATTGACACCAGGGACATCTTTTCTGCCTGGACCAGGAAGTGGCTTTAGAAGTAGTTGTGAACTGTCCCTCATTAGGCACTCTTCAGAAATGGATGTTACAATCCATCACAGCAGGTGTCACAACTGAGAATCAGGAAAGGTGGGTAATACTTGCACCTTATGAATTGAGAGCTCAGACCAGACTGTTAAATTCCTTGTCTTATCTGATCATCCCACTAGCCCTGTGAAGTAGACATCTTCCTCCTGTTTTAACATTGAGGCTCAGAGAGGTGTCGGTGATATATCCCCACACAGCTCATTAGCAGCAGGACCTTCTAGAGCTCACTGAACAGCTCACTTGCCCATCTGCCCCAGTTCCTGGGAAGCATGCCCGACAGCAGCCAGGCCCCTCATGGTCCACGTGGCCTTCCCCTGGGAGTGGGCGAAGCCTTAGCCTGAGCTGAGGGGCTCTCTCTGCAACCTAGGCGCGTGCACATCTCCCAGAGCACCATGGACTGCCTGAAAGGAGAGTTTGATGTGGAGCCAGGTGATGGAGGCAGCCGCTGTGATTACCTAGAAGAAAAGGGCATTGAAACCTACCTCATCATTGCATCCAAGCCAGAGGTGAAGAAGAGAGCCATCCAGAATGGCCTCAATGGCTCGGTGAGTTCCCCACCCCATCACCTGAATTAAGGGAATGGAATGAAAGGGATTTGAAAAAGAGAGACTGTAGAAGAAGTGTTAGCAGGATTTGAAGATGGGTGACCGTGAGAGGTGAGACTAGTGATAGTGATCTCTCAGGGAAAGCTGCAGTACATCCCAAGACAAGGTCTGAAGGGGAGGTTATTGGAGATATCTGCATGGCACTCAGGAGAAGGTCTTGCATGGAAGGCTCAGTTGAAGCCATAGGAGTGATGTGGTCTCCAGAGGAGAGAACGTGCAAAGCAAAGTGGGGGGATGAGTAGTGGGAGGGATGGCAGCAGTGGAATTGGATAGGCCATTGAGGTAGGAGGAGAAGCAAAGCCACAGAAGGTTTCAAGAGTGAGAAATGAAGAGAACAGTCATGGAAGAATAGAAGGGATACGTATGTACAGGGAGACAGCTCGTGGGGTAGGAGGAGTGCATGGAGGGAAGGACACAGGGAAGAGGTAACTATGGGGAGGAAGGGAGAGGAAAGCTATTATATTGTGGGAAATTGCAGTCAATGTCATGAGACAGTGTATGTGAGGTGCTGTATGAAAAGTGAATTTGCTCTGTAAACTTTCACCCAAATCATAATAAAAATTAAAAAAAAAACAAGACAAGTGGATAATGAAGAAGGAATAGGACAGAAAGAAAACAAAGCCCTCCTGTGGTCCTGCCCTCTGGTCTGGCCTTTCCTAAACTTCTACAGAGAGATAGCCATGGAGCTGAGGCCATGCCATGACCCCACCTTTCTGTGTATACCGGGCAGGTATGTATAGGAGCTTCCCCAGGTTTTACCCACCAACCACAGACCTCCTGATAGTCCGGCTTATTAGAAGCCACCACCAACTGGCTGTGGCAGAAACTGATCCCTTTACCATCTTCTGTGGAACCTGGAAATTGTTTTTATGCCTTGTAATCTATCACTTAAAAACCCTTCATGGGAGTCCATCCGTTCAGCTTGGTGGCTCTTATAGATGGCATGTTGTTTAGGACAGTTCCATGGCTGCAGCTTTACCTAATTATGGCTAAAGAAAAGCCCGCTCTGATGACACCGAAGGAGCTGTGGCTGAAGAGGTGACTCCTGATAAAGTTGTTCTTTTTTTAAAAATTTTTAATTTTTATTGTGATTTGGGTGAAAGTTTAGAAAGAAAACTCATTTTCTATACAGCAGTTCCTACACATTTTGTCTCATGACCTTGGCTGCAATTTCCCACAATGTAACAGCTCTCTTCCTACTTCCTCCCTGTAGTTACCTTTCCCTGTGTCCTTCTTTCCTTTATATTCTGCCCCCTGAGCTATCTCCCTGTGCAAATACTGCCCTTCTGTTCTCCCACGATTGAGCATACTAAGGAGTGTATCTACCTGATCTAAATGTTCACCTTATATGCCTGTCTACTGTTTGGCTGGAAGCCATGGGAATGAGTTCAATTCCAGGCCTGAAGGGTAACTAGGGGCCATAGTCTCAGGGGTCTCACCAGGCTCTATCAGACCAGTAAACCTGGTCTTTTTTTATGATTTTGAATTTTGTTCCACATCATTCTCCCACTTTATCCAGAATCTCCTGCACTGATCCTTTTCCGAGTGGTTGACAGTGGTAGCTGGGCACTATCTAGTTCTTCTGGTCTCGTGGTCATGTAGGCTGAGGTTCACATGATCTACCAGTGAACTAATTGTTGGACTAATTGTTTCCATGCATCTTTGGTTTTCTTCATTCTTCTTTGCCAGATGAGAAGAGACCAACTGTTGCACCTAGATCGCCACTTGCAAGCTTTTAAGACCCTAGTTGGTACTCACCAATTAGGATGCAGAACAGTGTTTTTGTGTAGTGTATTATGGGAGTTGAGCTTGATGTCCCCCACAATTGTGGTCTCGAGCCCACAGGTCCAACAACTCAGTCCATCAGGGTGGTTGGCTGTGGCCAAGAAGTTACCATACTTTGTCCCCTGTTAGTTCTGTTTATATGGATATTCTTACAACACATACAAATACATGTGTAAAAATATTGTCTACCAAGCTTATATATGGTCATGGGTATATTCCCTTTTGCCTAGAGATACCTGATCATTCAGCCTATCTGCTCATCTATTTACTTGTAGATTCCTGATAAAGTTTTAAAGAAAAACTAAAGGGCTTCTCCCTTTCCCCAGGGGGCTTTCCATTCAACAAGTCTAATCATAACCACTATCTATTGAGCACTTGTCTGCATCCAATATTTCACATAATCCTCAAGACAACTCCATCAGACAGGGGCCATACTTGTACCCACTTTACAGAGGAGTAAATTGAGGCTTAGAAACCTTCCACAAGTTTGTAGATACAGCCAGTGACAAAGATGGAATTAGAAACCAAAGCCTATGCTCCCAACCAGCTCCCACATTACCTCCTAATTTTTGCAGAGTCCCTCCTGTGTGTAGGTTGTACTGACTTGGTACCTGGAGGAGCACAGAGGTCTATATGACGTGTTCTCCATTCTTGAGCAACTTAAAATCCCACTTGGTGCTAAGCATTAAAGCAAAGAACAGGACAAAGTATTTTGTGCTAAGTGTAAAGTCTGAGCTACAGTAAATGTTCTAAAGAATCCAGAACAGTAAAAAGTTGTCTTATAGAAAAGTGGGAAATTTTAGGATAGAAAGTAGTGCCCCATGAAATAAGAATTGACCTTGCCACAAAATTGACATGAGTTATTTTTATTTTTAATATGGATGTATATCTAATATACTTAATAAATGTCTCAAAGTTAACATGTCCAAAGCACAGTTCCTGGTCTTCCTCCCAATTCCATCAAAAAGTGCCCTTCCTTCAGTCTCTCCCTTTTAGTTAATGGCAACTGCATGCTTCTTGTTGCTCAGAGCAAAAGCTTTGAAGTCATCCTTGACATCTCCCGTTACAATCCATGTCCAAATTCTTTTGGCTCTCGCATCACTTCTCATACCTTACAGCCACCATCCTGTCCAGCCACCACTATCCTGTGCCTGGAGTACTGCAGTGGTCTGCCAGCCAGTCAGCCTGCTGCCGCCCTTGCCTCTCCATTCTCTTTCTTGACACAGCAGCCAGAGTCATCCTACTCAAATGTTGTATTAGTGTCCTAGGGCTGCCGTAACAAAGCACCATAAGATGGGTGGCTTAAAACAACAGTAGCTTATTGTCTCATAGTTACAGATTATGAAGTCTGAGATGGCAGAGCCGTGCTTTCTCTGAAGCTCTAGTGAGGATCCTTCCTTGCCTGTTCCAGCTTCTAGTGGTTCCTGGCAACTGTTGGCATTCTTTGACTTGTAATTGCATCACTCCAGTCTCTGCTTCTGTCTTCCCATGGCCTCTTCTCTCTTGTGTCTCTGTGTGTCTCTTCTTCACTTTTTATAAGGATCCCAGTCATACTAGCTTAGGGCCACTCTACTCCAGTATGACCTCATGTTAAATGATCACATCTTCAAAGACCCTATTTCCAAACTAGGTCGCAAGCAGTGAGGGTTAGGACTTCAACTTATCTTCTGGGTAGATACAATTCAGTCCATAACAAATATTAAATTATATCACTCCCCTGCAGAAAACCCTCCACTGGTCTTTCTCTCACCTAGAGCAAAAGCCGAAGTCCTGTAGGGGTCAGGAGACCCTACACAGTCTGGCCCCTGTACATCTGACTCATCGCCCTTTCCCCCTTTCACTTCCTCTGCTCCAGCAGCACAGACCTCCTTGCTGTTGTTCAAACACTCCAAGCATTCACTTGTCCCGGAACCTTTGCACTGGCTACATTCTCTTCCTGGAACCCTCTTCCCCTGAAAGGTTTGCTCCTTCAGGTCTTTACTGAATGTCATATTTAAAGTCACACCCCCAGTGAGCTCTCTGGCCTTCTCCTACTTTCTCTCTCTCCGAAGCACTTATTATCTTTATATGTACTGCATATTTTACTTGTTTAGTTATTTTCTGCCTTTCCTTATTAGAATGTAAGCTCTGGTAGGTCAAGGAGTTTTGTCTGCTCCCACAATATTTAGAAAGTTCCTGTCACACAGTAGGTACTCCATAAACACCTGTTAAACAGGTGAATGAGCTGATTCCTATGCCACAGTGTTTGACTTAAGTGTTGGGGAAATTGGTTTATGGACTCTGTTCAGACAGTTGGAAGGCATTTGACAGAGCTCTACACCAACAAAGACCTCGGTGAATCATTGTGTCACTGAATTATTGTTTTAGAAATAGGAGTAGGAATAGTTGGGTCTCTCTTACCTTTGGAAATTAATAGTAGGAATTGAGTCTAGAAAATACAGCATTTTTTAATTAGTGCTCTAGAGGAGAAACTGAATAGTGACATTTCTAAGGCATCTAAACTCTAGTGGGAAAATCCTGGAATGACAGCAGACCGACCACAGGCCCAGAGGAGTGGGCAGCTGGCAGTGTCTGGGGGCCCTGCTGACCACTCTTTCCACTGCAGGCCCTGCCAAATGGAGCACCACCATCCTCAAAGCCCAACTCTCCTGCCCTCATTGAGACCAAGGAGCCCAATGGGAACACTGCCGGCTCCACATTGGAGGAGGCCGAGGAGCATGAAGCCCAGGTGTGTGCAAGGCTGAGGGCCAGGAGGGGGACAGGGAGCAGGAGGCACCAAAGTGATGCAGGAAAAGCCCTGTGCTGGGGGTGGGAGACCTGGCTCCAGCCCGACTCCACTCCTTTTTAGCAATGAAGCCTGGAAAGGTCTTTTCCCCATGCTACCTCCTCATCATCTATAAGAGGTGGGGGTGGGGGGAGGCAAGAGGTGTTCACTGAGGCCTCATCCAGCTCTGATTTCCCAGAATCCTGTAGATTTGAGGTCACTGAGGATGTTGTTGTTGTTGTTGTTATGTGCTGTCGAGTCAGACCCGACTCATAGTGACCCCTCCTTGGGTTTCTGAGGCGGTATCTCAATGGAAGTAGATTGCCCAACCTTCCTTCCAAGGTGTGGCTGGTGGGTTTGAACTGCCAGGCTTCTGGTTAGCAGTCAAGTGCCTTAGGCACTATGCTACCAGAGCTCTCTCAGTGAGGATAGTCCTGGAAAATGCTACTCTCTAACCTTGCCTCACTGGATTATAGGCAGACAACCCATCGTTCCCCAACCCTCGCCGGAGGCTGCACCTTCAGGACCTGGCTGATCGTGTGGTAGATGCCTCTGAAGACGAGCATGAGCTTAACCAGCTGCTCAATGAGGCCCTGCTCGCACGAGAGTCTGCCCAGGTGTAAGTGGCCAACTGCAGATCTCCTGGCCCCTTACTCCTCAGCATGTGCCCTGTCCTGCCCTGCCTTGGGGTTCAGAAGACTACAGTCATCTTAAACATAGCCTGTTGTATTCCCCTCCCTGCTAGGCTGGGTAGATACAGTGTTTGAGTTTCACAGGGTTTATTTCCACTGCAGAGTAAAGAAGAGAAACACCTTCCTTCTGTCCATGCGGTTCATGGACCCCGAGATGGAAATCCGCTACTCAGTGGAGAAGGAAAAGCAGAGTGGGGCCGCCTTCAGCTGCTCCTGTGTTGTCCTGCTATGTACGGCCCTGGTTGAGATACTCATTGACCCTGGGTGAGCAAGGGGTGGTAGCAGGAACTGATGGGATGAGGGCTCTTTTCCAGGCCAGGCTGGGCAAGGAGAGGGAAAGGTGATGAGGTTCCTCATGGGGATGTGAGGGGTATGAGTGCCTCTGCCGGAGCCTGATGTTAGGGTGCAGGCCTTGTCTCTGTTCCTTGTTCCCCACTAGAACAGCCTTGACTGTGTGTTTCCATTCCCAGGGCTCAAGCTGACCTCAGACTCAGGGATACCATTCTCTCTGCCTCTGGTTCTGGAGCAGCATTAGGATCAAATGGAGATGACCAGGGCTGAGAGAGCTGAGGGGCCTAGAAAGGGATAGAGACCTTAACTGGATGTGCCCCAGAGTGGATCTTGGGACATGGAGACACAGGATGGGGACAGAGACACTGCCTTGACCTCAGTCACCAAGGCCAATCTGGCACCCCTTTCTTGGTTCATCTTAATAAAATCTGAGCCCAGGCCAAACAATCACCTCTGTAAAAGCAGCAGGTCCTCTGGGGCAAGGTGGAGTTATGGAGTCCTTGCCTCAGCTGTTGTGAAACCCAATTGGAGGATGACTACAACCATCTCCCCTCCCCATGGGCCACAAGCTGCTCACTCTTGCTCAGGGATTTCCTGCCAGAAAAGGCTGGGGTGTGGAGCCTGGGTCTGATTACAGTTTGGAGAGCTGTGAAGATCCTGGGACTCAGTCACATCGTTTCTGGACATGGCTTCCTTGCCTATTAGCTGTATGACTTAGGCAGATTACTGAAAGCTCATGGAGCATCAGTTTACTCATCTGTGAAATGAGGACTGTAATACTTGTCCCAACCCACTCTTAAGATTGTTAATATCAAATTCATAACATTTCCCAATTCATACATTATTAATTGCCTACTTTCTGCCTGGGGATAAAAGTCTGGGGATAGAACAGTGAACACAGTATTGCCCAGACATGCATCGATGGGGACTTGGGTCCAGCAGAAGACACAGAAGATGACCATAAGTGGTTGGACTCCAAAATTATCTGATGGATGGATTCTGAATACATTTTGAAGATAGAGCTGACAGGATTTGCTGACAGAATGATTGTTGGGTATGAAATAGTGGAGGCAATAATTTCTCCAGGGTTTTTCACTTAAGTAACTGGAAGGATAGAGTTGCCATTAACCAAGATGGAGAATGTAGAAAAGTGGTGTGGGGGTTCAAAGCTTAGGAGTTTTGTTTTGGACAAGTTAAGTTTGAGATGCCTAGGATACTAAATGGAGTTGTCAGTGGGTCAGCTGAATATATAATCTGGAGTTCAGGGCAAGGATGGTGTTGGAGATACCAACTTGGGAGTCATGACAAATCAGTTGTATTGGAAGCCATGAGACTTGAGGAGAGCATCAAGGGGAATGCAGGCTAAAAAGAGAAGTGGTTCAAGGTCCAGGCAAGGCACAGCAGTGTTTATAGATGGGGCAACAAGAAAGAACTAGCAAAGGATGGAAAAGATCCTGAAAACCAAGTGAGAAAAGTGTTTCAAGGAGGGACAAGGAGTAGCTGAGAATTGATCGTTGGATTTAGCAGCATGGAGGTCTCTTGACAAGAGCACAATTCAGTGGAGTGGTTGGAATGAACATCAAATGGGAATGGATTTGCAAATGGGGAGGAGAATTTGGAGACAGCAAGTGTCTTGGAGTTAATGAGATAAAAACAATGTGGAAGGACCTTGTCAACTGTAAAGCTTTGCGCAGTTGACAAAGAATAACTCCCGTTAGTCCTCAGCAATCAGGGAGCTGCCCACAAGAGACCTGGGTTCAATTTCTGATCAGTGCACCTCAAGTATAGCCCCCACCCATCTGTGGAAGCTTGGGTGTTGCTATGATGCTGAATAGGTTTCAGTGGAATTTTCAGACTAAGATGGGCTAGGAAGAAAGGCCTGTTGGTCTAATTCCAAAAATCAGCCATTGAAAACTGACTCACAGTGGTCCAGCCCACAACCAATCCTGGGGATGGCCCAGGAGCAGGCAGCATTTTGTTCTGTTGTGCAGAGGGTCACTGTGAGTTGGGGGCTGACTTGATGGCGGCTGACAACCACCACCTGTTCTGTACTCCCTTCTTTCTGTGATTCTCCTTCCCAAAAATCATTTCCCAAGTTTGTGTTATGCTCTTCCCAGGGCGCCTACAAGCCTTCCCCTGTCTGGGAAGTGCCCAATCAACTGTCACATCTGGGGACCGCTGCCCAGGCTCAGGCCCTGTACTTAGTTGGTGGCCCCCCTGGTCAGGTTCTTTACCTCATTCTGTACAGCAAGCAGTGACAACTCCCTGGCATCACATGGAGCATTTCGGGTACAGGCATATACCTTGTTTGGAGAGCCTTCCCTTCTCCTGTCTTCTTCTTTCACTCTCCTAACCCCTCACCCAATGTCACTAACCCCTCCCAGCTGGGTCCCCTTCCCAATTGTCTTCTCTCTCTTACAGGCTGATGACAAACTATGTGACTTTTGTGGTTGGGGAGATTCTGCTTCTGATCCTGACAGTCTGCTCATTGGCTGCCATCTTTCCTCGGGTAAGAAGCACTGCTTATTTTGGTTGAGAAGCCCCCCAGGAAGTGAGTGCTCCCTCCCGTAAAACTCAGTATTGACAGAGTTGTACCTCCCATCAAGTCTTTACCAATAGACTGTCTTCAGTTAGGCTCATTCAAGCATTTATCTGTTCATTCATTTATTGTGCATTCACTCATTCACTACCACTGGATAACCTGCTGTGGATTGGGCTCTGGCGCTGAAGGATGGGTGGGTGAGTAAGCCAGAGTCTAGATAAAGGGAAGCCTGTGTGGAGGCCCACCTGAGAGGTGGGCTGGCCCAGATTGTGAAGGACCTTGAAAATCAGACTAATAGAATCAGTACTTTCTCCTCTAGGCCCTGGGGTATGCCACATAGAATGTTTGGTCAGAGGACATGGGGAAAGTAGTGTTTTAGGAGAATTAATCTGGTGGGTGAGTGGCTTGTTGGGTATCTTGGAAGATTTAGGTATACTGTCCCAGGAATGGCAGGGGTAGTTAGGCAGAGATGGCAACCAGCTAGTATTCCTATTCCCTAACCTGGCCTCATCTCCCAGAAATAAGAAGCAGGCTACTGCTGGCTAGTGCTGCCCACGGCTTCCTGGGGTGGGCACTGTGTCTGCTCTGGAAAGGACTTTGATCTCTGGAAGCCATGGTATTTCACAGACCCCGCTAGCAGAACTGGTACAGGGTGCCCAGCACTCCTGTGCTTGCTTTTCAACTCTGCCCAACTCTTGTCAGTTTTCCATTGACTTGCACACAAAGCACTACTTTTTAGATTTCTATAACTAGAGTGTAGAAACAACCCAAGTCATTAGGAGCATGTCTACAGGAGAAGAGGCTGAGGAAGGCACCGGGCCCTTGAAATTCCATTTCTTCTAGGCCTTTCCTAAGAAGCTTGTGGCCTTCTCAACATGGATTGATCGGACCCGCTGGGCCAGGAACACCTGGGCCATGTTAGCCATCTTCATTCTGGTTTTGGCAAACGTCGTGGACATGGTGAGCTCCTGCTGCCCTTGTTGAAGGGACACCCCACTCTCGGGGGAGAAGGGCTTCCATATTGGCCAGCTTGAGCAGTCTGCCAACCCATTCCTCTACCAGTAGGAGAAGTTTGGAGTGGCACCTATGTTCCAAAACAGATCCCCTTGCCAAATGGAAGAAGTTTTCTCCCTGTCATCCAGGAAAACTCTGAGACTGACTTGTTTCCCTACAGCCCCTCCCTTGCCAGAATGCAAGAGTCCAAAGCCATGTGCCTGGCCCTGTGCTAGGCACTTTTCATTTAATCTTTATAGCCATCCTAAAAGGTTGGTATTATTATCTGCAGATTCATGTAACACAATCAAGCCACAGAAAGGGTAACTCACTTGTTCTAAGTCACACAGCCAGTCAGTGACAGAGCCAAGAACTGAAGCAGTTCTGAGTCCCAGTCCTGTGTTTTCTTCTTCCATACCTCTTGCTCAGGGGACACAGTACTCATTAGCATTCTCTATATCTCCAGTATTCCTTAGTGTGGCTAGTGCCATACCTGTTCCCCTAAAGGAGCTCTCCTCAGTTTAGCCTTCACCCATTTGAACACAGCCTGACCTTCCTAGAGGAGTGTTAGTGGGGATGGTAGCTTCATAGAACCCAGGTGGCTGGGGGCAGACCAAATCATCATCTGTTCTCTCCTCTCCTATACTCTGTCCTTAGTTCTTGGAGAAGTGAGGAGTCCCAGGAGGAGACAGCCCAATGCTTTCTTAGGGAGAAACGACAGGATCTATGGATTCACAGCCACTAGACATTACATTTACTGAGCATCTATGTCTGCTGTCATTGGTGCTCTCTTGTCAGTCATCATAGCTGTTCAACTTGGGTAGTACCAGTGTGCTCTCAAAAGGCCTACTTTTTTCAGATACAATGTTGTCATACTACTTGCTTTATAATTCTTAACAATTTAAACACGGGGAATAAAAGTAAGTGTGGAGACATATTCTGGCAACAATATGTAAAGTGAAAAAGCTCTAGGGTTGTAACCAATTGATCAAAAGTCCCAGTTAGCACCAGGAGTCAGGAGTTGCAGAACCTAACATGTAAATGGGTTGACAGTACCCACAGCCCAGGGAACAGAAGCCCCAGACCCCTGGCACTGTCAAAATAGACCTCTGTTTAACAGGGTCATGGACACTCTGTAGGACATGTGGAGATCCTGTCACCAGTGGAGAGGTGAAAAACTAGGGAGAGGGGAACACTTTGCATATGCTAGAAACACATGCTGAGAATCTCCCCAAAGGCAGACACGCTTAAGGGGGCGAAAGTTACAAAAAAGCAGATTTGATACAGCTTATGGATGCATGTTCTGTGGACTCTATCTGCCCAGTAGTGGGCGTGAGGTAGTGAGCTTCCATAGAATGGAAGTGCTTGTGCCAACACTGGCTGGTTATTGCCAGCAGCTATGAGTGGGAGTTGACTGACTGGCCCCCAGCCCCTCCTTAGGCAACAGCATGATGTGGGGAAGAGCATACTGGACTTAAAGCCCAAAGACTTGACTTCTAGTTCTGGTTTTGTTAGTGTTGGATTTTCAATTCATAGCAACCCCATGTGACAGAGTGGAACTGCCATAGGGTTTTCTAGGCTGTCATCTTTACAGAAACACATCTCCAGGGCTTCCTCACTCAGAGCCATCACATAGTTTCAAGCCACCAACCTTTTAGTTAGCAGCAGCCAAAAACTTAACTTTTGTGCCACTGAGGTTTCTAGTTCTGGTTTTACCACTTGTTAATTGTGCTGCTTGGGGTAAAGCCCAGATTCTCTGGATTTTCTGGGCTATGGAGACCTTAATAAAAATACAGATTTTTGTGAACATCAAATGAGATGATGGTAAAGCTCTTACTAGGAATTCATTACTAACTTTTGTCCCTGGTGAGTTCTCTCATCTTTCTTAGTGTTTCTGAGGGACCTGTGGGAGGGTGGGAAGTGGAAATGGAATGTATACTTGCCATGACATTGCCTCTCTGACTAGTGTTTGCTGTTCTCTTGCACCCTATATCCCCCTCCAGCTCAGTTGCCTCCAGTACTACACGGGCCCCAACAACATGACTGCAGGGATGGAAGCGGAGCAGTACGGCTGCATGGCAAACCCCAAGTATTACAACTATGTCGCTGTGCTGTCTCTCATCGCCACCATCATGCTGGTGCAGGTCAGCCACATGGTGAAGCTGACACTCATGCTGCTTGTCACAGGCGCGGTGGCCGTCATCAACCTCTATGCCTGGTGCCCCATCTTCGATGAATACGACCAAAGACGTTTTCAGGAGCATGAGTAAGATGAAGCCTGATAGAAAGCTGCCTCATCTCCTTTCCCCACCATCTGGTCCCCATTTCAAGGCCATAGGTCTGCCCTGAAGTGGCTTTCTGCCTCTAGGGCTCAGTGAAGGCTTGTATGGGAATCAGGGTTCATGGCTTGTCACTCCAGGTAGCTTTGACCTTGTGTTAGGTCACTTCCATTCTTAATGAGTGGAAGATCTGGGCTTCCTCAAGGTCTAGCTGGGCATCAGCCTCATGAACCCTGATGGGCCTGAGTGTGCTATCATCTCTCCCATAGTATTCCCGTCATCACCTTAGAGAAGATGCAAGTATTTTCCACCCTTGGGTTCAATGGGACTGACAGGTAAGTGTTACTACTTCCTCTTTCTTGTCAGTATTTGCACTCTGTTTCTTTTGTTGTTGTTGTTGTTGTTGTTGTTACATGCCGTCGAGTCGGCCCCGACTCATAGCGACCCCTCCTTGTGTTTCCAAGGCAGTATCACTACGGAAGTAGGATTGCCCAACCTTCCTTCCGAGGAGTGGCTGGTGGGTTTGAACCGCCAGCCGTCTGGTTAGCAGGCAAGTGTCTTAGCCACTATGCTACCAGAGCTCCCTGTTTCTTTTAGAGACAGGGAATACAGAATGACAAGCCCCATGATCTCACACTTTCAGAGGCACATAATCTGGGGTTGTGTGCAAGTTAGAGCAATGAAAAGGTGTTTCTAGAGTTGGCTGGGGAGAGGGTAGAATGCTGTTAGTTAGGACCTGGACATCCTGGCTGATTCTGAGTCAAAGGGAGTGATGCTGGGAGAGCAGCAGCAGTGCCATTTGCTGGGCTGGATGCAGATGAAGAGATGGAGCAGCCAAGTGGATAAGGGCCATGCTTTACTGCTTGGAAGGACAGGGAGCTAGCAGGAAAATGTAAAGGCAAGAACACAACATTCAGAGTTTGAAGACTTAGGTTATTATCCTGCCCTACTCAGAAGTCTCTGTGGAACCACAGTTTTCCTGAGTCTTGGTTTCATCTGTCAAGGACAGTATTAGACTAGTTCTTAAAGATCCCGTCTAGGTCTAAGGTTTTAGAATTTTATGATTCATTGATTTCACTAGACATTCAAGTAAATTTTGAGAAGACAGATCTGCTAATAGAAGACTGACAGAAAACTTGAATATGCTTTTCATAAAAGAAAAAGTCTAAATGACCAGCAATCCATGAAAAGGCATTCACGCTTATTAGTAATCAAGGAAGTGCAAGTTAAAACCACAGTGAGACACTATTACACATCTACCAGTTTGGCAGAAATTAAAAAGTCAGTCTAATAATATCAAATACAGTGGTAACTCATACATTCCTGGTGGGAGTATTAATTGGTATGGCCACTTTAGATAACAATTTGGAGTTATTAAGTAAAGCTGAAAAATAGATCTGTAACCTAGCAATTCTACTCCTAGATATGAACATATGAACATTAGAGAAATTAGTATGCATATCTGTGTTTCATGATATATATTCAAGAATGCTCATAGGGACATCATTTATAGTACATACACACACACACACACACACCTGTACCCAACATGAAGACAACCCAAACAGCATCAAAATGGACAGAAAAATCATGGAATACTATACAGTAATGAAAATTAATGTACTACAGTTCCACACACAAAAATATGCACGAGTTATAGAGGCACAGTAAAATGTTGCCTTCGTCCCATCACTGTGATGCAGTCTCTCCCTTCTCCTAACTCCTGCTTGGCTGCAGATACTCTGTGATCAGCCCAGAGATGCAATATTCATTAAACATCTGGGGAGCAGCACTGATGTGGACATCAAGTGTAGCCAAGAGGGCCCCAGAGTCAGTTGGCTGTTAGCTAAGAGCTCAACAATTCAAGAAAGTATTATTGCCCAGTGGGAGTCTGGACTTGAAGTGAAGGGGTTTGAAGAGCTGGAGAAAGTTTCTGGGGCCTAAGGTGACAGGAAACAGCATAACCCAAGCCCCACTCCACACCGGGCCTCATTTGGCTTCCCTGGTAGAGCCTGCCAGTCAGAGTGAATAAAGCTCCCTTCCAGGAGGGCAGCCTAGTCCTCTTTCAGTTGAATGACTCTCTGCTGCACAGGTTGCCCCTGATGCCTTCTAAGTACTCGATGACAGTGATGATGGTCGTCATGATGCTGAGCTTTTACTACTTCTCCCGCCATGTGAGTGCCTGCATGCCCTCCCTCTTCTCTTTTCTCACACTGATCAGAACCTCCTGGACTAAGACCCAAGCTCCTTAGGGGATGCTGGTTCCCTTACAAACATGGCATGGGATCCTGGTCAAGCTACAGCCTTCTCAGTATTCTGGCTTCCTTCTCAGTAATGCCAGGAAAACTGTCTTTACCTCCCTCTTCCTTTTCACTTCCCCAGGGATGCTGAAGGGAGCTTGTGGGAGTGTGGTTAAGAGGCGAGGTGGAAGGAAAGAGGGTGGGTGCTGGCACAAAAGCCTGGATAAAGTCTATTCTCCAGGCTGGGACTCAGAGCTTGTACTTCCCCTGGCTCACACACTGATCACACAGCCAGAAGAGAAAGGGAAAAAGGTTGAGAAAGATTTTGTTTGGTTAAAAGGAAAAGAGAGAAGTAACCATACACCGGACTTACTGCTTCACATTAGCTCAAGTGCCACCCAGTGGTTTTCCAGGGAAGTTCAACCTTCCTGGCCACTTCAGGACCAAATGGAGCTTGGTGGAAATGGTGACTTCACCTTGGGGTCTCAGCAGTAGCTCAAAGTAGGTCCTGGGAGGCCCAGCATGTACAGAAGGCCTCTCGGGTCTCTGCCATAACCACAGAGGTTGGGATTCCAGATCCTCACTGCAGCTGTAGGAAGGCTTTCTTGACTGAGTGAATCCTTTCTCGGCCTTACTTCTCTTGCCAATTAGCCATCTTTTCTCTAGTTTTTCTAAGAACCCCTCCATCTACAGCCCTGTTTTTCATCTTCCATCCAGTGGCCACCCTAAAGCACACACCTTGCTTGTGTCTGTGTCTGCAGGTGGAAAAACTGGCACGGACCCTGTTCTTATGGAAGATTGAGGTCCATGACCAGAAGGAACGTGTTTATGAGATGCGACGCTGGAACGAGGCCTTGGTCACCAACATGCTGCCTGAACACGTGGCCCGCCATTTCCTGGGTTCCAAGAAGAGAGATGAGGTGAGGCATGGACCCTCATGCTGTGGTCTGGAGCCATGAGGCTGTCTATCTGCGTCTGCTCTTTCCACCACGGGCCTCTCTGGGCCAGGCCCTCTCAGGACATGTAGTCAGGGTAAAGCTGGATCTAATCAGTGACCACAAGATGAGCAAGAAAGAATTGCACAGGCCTGTTCATTTTTTTTTTTTTTTCTTTCTCATTTTTATTATGGTGAAACATATACAAGACATTCACCAACGTAACAACTTCCACAATTACAGCTCAGGGACATTGATGACATTTTTCATGTTGTGCCACCATTATTGCTATCCTTTCCAAAATATTCCACCACCATCAGCATAAACTCAATGTCCCCCAAACAAAAGCTTCCCCTTTTCCCCTCCTTGCTACCCTGGATAACCACTAATAATCTTTCGTATACCTATACATATATATATATATGGGAGCTCTGGTAGCATAGTGCCTAAGGTACTTGACTGCTAACCAGATGGCTGGCGGTTCAAACCCACGAGCCACTCCTTGGAAGGAAGGTTGGGCAATCTACTTACGTAGTGATACTGCCTCGGCAACCAAGGAGGGGGTTGCTATGAGTTGAGTCCGACTCGATGGCACATAATAACAACAACAACTATATATATATATACCCCCTGCTCAAAAGGCAAGGAAGCCACATCTTCTGACCTCCTCCAACCCCACAAGAGGAAAACAGAATCACCATCAGTAGCCCAAGGCCTATTCCTGTGAGGCCAGACATGCTGCCTCCCTCCAGCCCTTTCACCAGCACTGACAACCAACTGTTCCTCCTGCAGCACTCACCACCTTTCCGCTGGGTTCAATAATTCGCTGCAGTGGCCGTACAGAAAACTCACGGATTATGGGGTTTATTAGGGAAGTACCAGGTTACAATTCAAGTTCAGGAAAAACGCTGAGTCTCACTCAGCCTGCCATCTCTCAGCCAACAGTCTCCCACTATCTCTCTCAGCAATGTGTGTCTCTTGCATCTCTTTCCTAACAGCGCGTGTCTCTAAGGAGCGCGTGTCTCTCAGAAGTACATGTCTCTCAGCAGCACATCCTTCTCAGACAGCAGTCAGAGAGAGATTTCTGCCTCTAGGAGGCCTCCTTTTGAGCCCAGCAGAGCGGCCAAACCAACCAATCATAACATCAGAATTCTAAGCACCTGAGAGAGAGTGCAAACCTCCTAGGACATTGCTTTGTGCCACTCCCAACAGAAATACCCCTGGTGGACAACTTTAATGATCAGGAGCCACTCAGTTGCTTAGGGCAAATTCTACCATGGAGTTCACAAAGACTTATGGCTAGAAAAGCCATACCAGGTAATTTACTACACCACACCCCTGTAACCAACAAAGAAAGTTCCCTTCCATGGATAAACCTTTCCTTGACTTTTTACAATAGTGGACTAATATTTGTCCTTCTGTGATTGACTTATTTCACTCAGCATATAATGCCCTCCAAGTTCATCCACATTATGTGGTGTTTTGCAGATTCTACATTATTCTTTAGGGTCACATGGTATTGTATGTATTTACCAGTTTGGTTATCCATTCATCTGTTGATGAGATAGGCACTTAGGTTGTTTGCATCTCTTTGCTATTGTGAATCGTGCTATGATGAACATGGGTGTGTGTATATCTATTCATGTCCTGACTCTCACTTCTTTTGGATATATACCTAGTAATGCGATTGCTGGATCAAACAGTATTTCTATTTCCAACTTCTTAAGGAATTACCATACTGAATTCCACAGTGGTTGTATCATTTTATGGTTTCACCAGCAGTGTATGAGTCCCAATTTCTCCATATCCTTGCTAACATTTATTTTCTGTTTTCTTGAACTTTGCTATCAGTGCTGAGGTCAGATGGTATCTCATTTTGATTTGCATCTCTCTAATGGCACAAGCTTGTCCTTACAGACATCATGTTTATATGGTCCATATCTCTGTGAGGCTGCACTGCAGAAGATAAGGCCTTGGCTACATCCCACCTTTCTGTCAACTGCCATTTTCCCAAAACAGAATTACTCTTATGCCTCATTTCCCAGCTTCACTGTACCTTCTTCCTTATAGCTAGGGCTGTTAAAGAGACTACAGAAGCTTTTTTTTTTTTTAACTATTCAAAGTTGTGATTAGCTGTTTCTCATTATTTTAAGTTAGGGTAGTCTGGGAGATGCATGTGTCCCAGGAGCTGAGTTCACATATCACGTGTTCTGAGGAAGAAAGTTTCATTTCTCATGGACATTATCCAACCAACGAACCAATGGTTGAGCACTCTGACTCTGCCTCTTTTTAGGAGCTGTACAGCCAGTCTTATGATGAGATTGGAGTCATGTTTGCCTCCCTGCCCAACTTTGCTGACTTCTACACAGAGGAGAGCATCAATAACGGTGGCATTGAATGTCTGCGCTTCCTCAATGAGATCATCTCAGACTTCGACTCTGTGAGCACCCATCCCTCCCTCTCCCCTGCCATAAACTAGCTCACTCCAGACTGCACATCCCAGGAGGGGCTGCGGGAGTCAAAGGGAAGTTAGAGCTACTCTAGACTGGCTACATTTTTCCAGATAAGTCCCTCCTGGTAATGTATGGACTTCAAAGTCTTCTAGAAATGCTGGGATCTGAGGGTGAGGTGGGCCCAGGGGATCACCTACAAGTTCACAGGGTAAGGACTGGCCAACACAAAATCCTTCTGACTCCTCCTACCCTCAAATTCAGATTTAGTAAACATTTATTGGGTAACTTGTATACCAGGGAAAGTGCTTTCACATACATGCTCAACCACACTAAATTGACAGTTTATCTCAATGTTAAGGTTGTGGGAACTGAGTCTCAGAGAATTAAATTTTCCCAGTATCACAAGGCAGATAAGTGGCAGAATAAATAAACCTTTACTAGGAAAGCATCTCTCGGATGTTTTGTGGGGTGCATGTAAACAGGCAAATGTCATGTAGTTGGGGCATGCATCTTAACTATGTTGACAACTCTCTTCCATAACCCTGGACTCAGCTCCTGGACAATCCCAAATTCCGGATCATCACCAAGATCAAAACCATTGGCAGTACCTACATGGCAGCTTCAGGAGTCACCCCAGATGTCAACACCAACGGTGTGAATAGTTCCAACAAGGTAACTAAAAACACTCCAGTGGCTCGAGAGAAGAGATAGGGCTGTCCCAAACCAGAGATGGGCAGCCTATATCCAGCAGATGGGAAATGAGATGTTAAGTAAGTAGCTAACATTAAGTACTGTTGTGCACAGTGGCCATAGACACACCAGCACTATGCAATGCAAATCTAAAATAGCATTTACTGAGGACAGTTTTATGAGTAGAACCCACACAGTCCCACCATTATTCCAGTGTCAGCCAGAGGTATAAGATGGTTTGTGAGCAATGCAGTCATCGTTGCAAGAGGACTCCACACCCTTCATGCTATGCATGTTCACAGGAACTGGGAACTGTCATGCAATTTTGTAATGATGACAGCTTCCAGTGCTTTTGTTAGAAAAGGGGAGCCTTCAGAATCACTGGCTGAAAGTAACCTATTCCTTTTGTTAAGCTAGCTCAAATCTGTTGAGCCAAATGTCTATAGCTGTGAAGAGGCAAAATGAGCTGTGGGGCCTCCATGGCTTCCTATGTTCCAAGTAAAACGTATTCTTCAAACATCATTCTCTTGTTTTACCTTTACAACTGTCCTATGACTACCTTCTCTATGTTACGTGTAAGGTGAAAGAAACATGTCTTGGGCAGACCATCACCCTCAAGTTGCTTATAATCTTGTTGAAGAAATCAAGACCAGGACAGTTATACAAAATTTAAAGGCAAGGTGGTGCTAAGATATGACTTGTGATCAGATATATGACAGATGGGAAGCAGCTGAGCTGGGTAGGATTTTTATTCCCTATGAGCACTGTCCAGTCTTTGTCCTAGAACTACTAGTGGCACCTGGGGGAACTTACTTACAACAGTGACAAGTCAGAGTAAGTGGATGAGGTTGCTGTCCCCTTTGTGGACATAAGTGGAGAATGAGTCTTTACCAACCAGGTGTAGAAACTCACCTCCCAGTGGGAAGAGGGGTGCAGGCTGGGTGGTCATGGGCCTAGACTAATACTTTCATCGCTACTCTGGGCACAGGAGGAGAAGTCGGAGAAGGAACGCTGGCAGCACCTGGCTGATCTGGCTGACTTTGCACTGGCCATGAAGGACACGCTTACAAACATCAACAACCAGTCCTTCAACAACTTCATGCTGCGCATAGGTAAAGCTCTACACTCACCTGCCCCTTGGCACATTCCTTTCTGAGGCAGGAAGGTCTACCAAAACCAAACCAAACTGTCATTGAGTTGATTTCAACTCATAGCGACCCCTCCTTGGGTTTCCAAGGCAGTATCACTACAGAAGTAGATTCCCCCATCTTCTGAGAAGTGTGAACCGCCAGCCTTCTGGTTAGCAGTCACATGCCTTAGGCACTACGTCACCAGAGCTCCTATGAAGACAGGATAGACTATTTCTGCTCTCTAGTAGGTTATAGGAGCTCTGGTAGCATAGTGGTTAATTAAGGCACTTGACTGCTAACCAGAAGGCTGGTGGTTCAAACCCACCAGCCACTCCTCAGAAGGAAGATGAGGCAATCTACTTCCATAGTGATACTGCCTCGGAAACCCAAGGAGAGGTCACTATGAGTCGGGTCAGACTCGACGGCACATAACAACAACAGTAGGTTATGCCTAAGGCATGTGACTGCTAACCAGAAGGCTGATGGTTCACACCCACCAGCCACTCCTTGGAAGGAAGATCAGGCAATCTACTTCCACAGTGATACCACGTCGGAAACCCAAGGAGGGGTTGCTATGAGTCGGATCCCACTTGACGAGAGTGTGTTGGGTTTGTTTGTGTTAGTAGCTTATAGTTTCGAAACAAGCTGAATGTGGAATATGGCATGCTGCATAATCAGGAGCTTGTAGGGATCAGGTGATGAGTGCTATAGAAGGAGTTGGTGACTTTTGAGGCAGTGGCGATGGCAGGGTCTGAATTTTCTGCCTCTACTCCAGGCATGAACAAAGGAGGGGTACTGGCTGGGGTCATTGGAGCCCGTAAACCACACTATGACATCTGGGGCAATACAGTCAACGTAGCCAGCAGAATGGAGTCCACGGGGGTCATGGGCAACATTCAGGTATGTCCATCAGCAGAGCCGAGCCAAGTACCCAGATTCAAGGATGGGAATAAAACTGGGCTGGTGCTTGTTTGCCACTGGAGCTGCCTCCTTCTTACGGGTCCAGAAAATGGTCGGCAGTGCTGAGATTAAGGGCAAGAGCGGAAAGATATGCCTCTACATAAGCTAGCCTTGGTAAAGACACAAAATACTTCAAGCCTGTTTGCAAAATTTAAAGTTTTGAGTAAGAATATCCTGCTTCTTGGGATGAACTTCCTGACATCCTGTGGCTCCAGCAGGTCCCTCTGAAGTAATCCTGCACCTGTACCAGTTGGAACTGGTAGAAGTGCTCCATAAATGGGCAGGGGACACAAGGGAGTAAAAGTTCCAAACAGGAGTGCTACCAGAGAAGCAACCTTTGGGTGTCCTCTGAGGAGACAGAGGGACTATCTGGAGAGTAGAGGGTTCCAGTTAACTTGCTCTGTGATCCAATCTTCACCATCTGCTGGAGTAGCAGGTGCTTAGCCTTGAGAGATTTAGATAAGGGCACTAAGATTCAGTGTAGATTGGGGTCTGTGGATCACGTACGTTTTAGTACCACCTGAGTCAGTTCTCAGCCCCAACCAAGGCCCTATATTCATCCTGAGTCTTAGCTCACTCTAACCCCACACTCACTTTGTTCTCCCTTTAGGTGGTGGAAGAAACACAAGCTATCCTTCGAGAATATGGCTTCCGCTTCGTGAGGCGAGGTCCTATCTTTGTGAAGGGAAAAGGGGAGCTGCTGACCTATTTCCTAAAGGGACGTGACAAGCCAGCTGCCTTCCCTAATGGTTCCTTTGTCACATTGCCCCACCAGGTGGTAGACAACTCCTGAGTGGCTCCAAACCCACAACAGTCCAAACGGGGAGGGAAGATTTATTTTCTGGAATCAGAAAAGTCTTGGGAAAGGTCAAATGACCAAGTTCCAACATTCCGAAATTGTTAAGTACACACTTACATAGACTTTAGGTTTAAAAATCTCAAGCCTTCATTTGTTTGTGGACACATGAGCTCCAAGGGTGGCCATACTATTCCAAGTGTGCCTGCAGCTTCTCCCAGAGAGTAGGTGTAGTACAGTCCTCCCAGAGCCCGTTCCAACCAGCACCTTTCCCCCAGAGAGGCCACGGCCACTGTGAGCAGGCAAGCGGCAGAGTTGGAATGAAGCTGCCTTTGCCGCTGGGCTGGGAGCACAGGTAGAGAAGCTCTGGTGACGAGGGCCAAGGGGTAGCACAGTTGTGGCTGGCAAGTGTTCTGCTCCCGACTGTAACTCAAAAACAATGCTTTCATTCTGAGAAGAGCTCAAGCTGGAGACCTGTCTCCACACGGTCTGAATTAGGCTAAATGGCCCTAGTCCTGATGTTCCTGATAATCTTGAAAGGTTCTTCTGGAACCCCTGTCACCTTAGTTATGAGAACAGAAAGTGCAATATTTCCTTTACCGGGAGGGATTTATTTCTGAAAGAAAAAGATATATACAGATCTTCTACATTTATATTTTTACCTTTCTGTTAAAAAACACTTTCCAATATTGCCTTGCCTTTTGAGCTCTTGCTACAGTCGCCTTTGCTACTGCTTTAAAGAGAATTTACAGGTATTGATTAAAAAAACAAAAAGACTGTTTTATTAAATGCTTTATTCAACTTGAATGGGGTCATTGTGAAAATTGTGTGAATACCTCTCATCTGAGAAGTCCTAAGTCACGCCACCGGTCCACACCTCATGCCTGGACGGCAAGAGCTTGATCTAGGACATCTCTCTTATTCTTAAGCTGCTGCTTTTAACAATGATCCAATTTGGCTTTACCATCCCCCTGGGCTCTTCCTAATGTTAGCTAGAGCTCCTTCCTGTGAAGTTTACATGTTATACTTCATGTCCCACAGGTAACCATTTTAGAGTGAGGCCTGAATGCAGCTCTAAACCTGGGGCGATAATGTAATGATAGCTCCTGTTCCGAATGGACAACAGGGATAAGACCTGAAATGGCCAGCCAGAAACAGGTTTTCATGACTGTGAACTGGCCTTGCACTTACGCACAAAGCTAGGAATAAAAACACCAGCTGATCCAAGGCCCCCGGTTATGGGGGAAATGGTACACTATATGGCCAAGGAGAAGGGAAGAAAATTGCACAGCCATGGCCCAGAATTTGCATGAGAGGGAAGAGAAGGAGGAAGGAGAAGGGTCTGCTTCCCTTTGAAACAATGAGTTTATGGGCAGATTTCTAAGCTAGCTTACCACAGCTGACTTAATACGTTCAGCTCTCTACTAAAATGTTTTGGGAAACAAAATGATATAGAACGTTGGTTGTTTTATGCACAATATTTCTCCATCATATTCTTTATAAAGCTACAGCCTAAAATACATTGCTCCAAACCAAGGATTAAACCCACTTTCCTTATCTACAGAATTCACCTCATACCATGAACCTGGAGTAATCTAAGAACTTCCTTTTCAGAAGTGTCACAAAAGCAGGTTCCATGAAAGCAAGAAATACTGTTTAGTTGAAGGATATGCCTTCCCTCTTGCATAAAATGCCCTCTACAGCCCCACAAACAATTTAGATTTTCAGCAAAAATGTATAATCAATTAACACCTCAAAACAATGGGTGGTTTTGAGTATTTTTAAGTGATCAGACAGTTAGCAAATTATCAAAAACCCAATGTCCACAGACTCACACCTAGCCTTTATCATCCTGATAAAGACAAAGGTGTCTGTTTTCATTGCCAAGGACAGTCCCCAACAAGTCTGAGCTGTTCAAGAGTTTCCAGTTCCTGGACCCTTGCATGGAACTGTGTATAGTACTATTGTACTCATTTCTGATATGTTTGTTCTCAATGAAAATTACATTTCAGGAGAGTAGGCTCATATCCAATTTTTCTCCTCTTGAAAACGAAGTGAACACTTTATGTAGTGATGTTGTACGAAACATATTTTCATGGTAGACTCGCTGTTCCTCCCATGAAGTAGCTAATGCATCCATTCCTAAAGAAGAAAAGTTTCAATCATATCCAGTGTAACTGGGGAATAAGAACCTGGATCACTAAGACAGGGGACTTAAAAAAGACAGGGAAATCAAAAACTTACAGTGTGCAACTTGTGGCAGCTTCAAGATTTCTTCCTCCCAAAAACATTTTGTACAATTTTTCATTATTGCCATGTCACAGCACTGTGCTACATTTAACCAAAACAGGTTCACAACAAATGTCTCCTAGCCAGCTCTGAAGCTCTAGGGAGCTAAGTGTACACTAACTTCTCCCACATCGCTGGCTCCACTCATCATAAATCACCCTGTGACTGGGCCTTATTACTTAGTTGTCTTTCTTCAAGAGGGGTCTCCAATGAAGAGTAAATCTTAAGCTGAAAGAACCCTGCCAGAGTTGAGTGAGACAAAGGAATGGGGAAAACTAGGACAGTTATGTTTACTATTTACAAATAAGAGGAAAAAATGGTAGAAACAAAGAAAAAACGCTCTATCTTAGTGAGTACAGTAACAGTAATCAGGAAATACCTCAAAGAAGTTCATCTGATGGACTCTACCTATTTCATCCCGTTTCAATCACCCTGAATGAACTAATGGACACTTTAACTTCTTCATGAGGCATCCTTCCTCTTACCTTGACAGGTAACAGTGACATCAGTTGGTAGAGTTATTGTGAGGTCTTTATACAACAGTCTAGCACAAAATGGGAAAGACTGGCCGCCTGGCTCCACTTTGTAAGTAAATGACAGCAGGTTGCACAGCGCATTTCTCTGCAAGGGCCCAGCCAGAAAGGCTGCAAAGTCACTCTAATGGAGGAGAGGGGTTCAAAACAAACACAGACAACATGAGCATTACAGTTCCCAAGGCAATGGTTGTGACACTTCAAAACATGTCTACTCAAAATAGAGTAGATAACACATCTACCCATTAATTAAATCCCACAGCATAAATGAGGGACAGAGAAAGGCCTGAAAAAGGGACTAATGACAGATTTACAATATAACAACTAAGAATGAGTGGCAGCCTACAAAGGGCTTCACAACGCCACTACTATGTAAATGGGCAGGGAGAGGGAGGAGGCCATTTCTGTGAAGAATTTCATGAACATCACACATAGGACTAAGATCCTTCATGTGTGCATTCACATGTCAAGTTAAGTTTAATCTGACTAAAAATGGGGAGCTTCAAAATAATTCCAAATGCATGGGTTGAGGAAATGCTAAGCTAATGAGTCACGTATTCCTACTGTCATTAATTTCCTGTCTACTTTTTTCACACCAACTGTGACTCCAGTTTGGCAACCCTAAGAAGGTGAACCAGAGTTTAGAAGACTAATAGTATTTCTCTGTGGTATTTAAAAAACCGTGATCTCTTTCTACTTTGCATCTATTCCCAAGGTCCAATAAGGCACTTGGCACATAGTAGATATTCAATAAATCCTTGGTGAATCAAAAGTACAGCACAATATTGGGCCACAGTAAGATGGACTGATAGAATGGGAGAAAAACATGGAGCCTCAAATTCCTAAAATATGTTAAGAAAACCTAGACCTACCGGACTGGTTGAGAACGGGTCTCCCCAAGACTACTGCCCTGAGATACTCTTCAAACCTTGAATCAAAATTAACTTGAGGCCACTTTGTACCTAAACAGCAAATTGGCTCAAAAATAATGACTATCACCAGCAAGTACTGTGCTCCTTTAAAAACTGGTAGCATAGTGCCTAAGGCACTTGACTGCTAACCAGAAGGCTGGCGGTTCAAACCCACCAGCCACTCCTCGGAAGGAAGGTTGGGCAATCCTACTTCTGTAGTGATAACTGCCTCGGAACCCAAGGAGGGGTCGCTAAGAGTCGGGGCCGACTCGATGGCAAATAACAACAACATATGAGACCAAATAATCAACAGTTACTTCAAAACAAAAGATGAAAATGTAAGGGACCAAGCAAACTAGATGAATGGAAACTGAACAACCAGAACAGAAATGAGATTTCATGCACTGTGAAGAAAGTAACCAATGTCACTGAATAGCTTGTGTACAAACTATTGAAAAGGAACCTAAACTGCTGTGTAAACCATCGAGACAAAAGTGTTGTAAATGTACTCCAATACTGCATGAGAAGAAAGGGTAAGGCCACAAGATAAGGACCACTATTCGGTAGTAGATAATTTCTTAACCAGTACCCATGCTTCAACATCAATTCCAGAGTTTCAAAAGGGTAAGAAAAGAGGGTGGAAAGAAATAAGAATTAGGAGAATAATGGTCAAACCTCTGGCTCAGAGTTCTGAAATACAAAAGTTGTCCCTTGTTTCCTTTTAAGCATATCCTGGGCCCATAAGATGATCTATGTAAAATTCCCGACAGATACCTGAAGTCGATCCGCCTGGTACTTTCTCCCAGTGTAAGCATTTAAGTACTCGCAGAGACTGAACAGGAAGCACTGAATATCAGTCTGTAAGTATTTTGCAGCTATCTCTTCTAGAGGAATGAAGACTGGAACTGAATGGTGATGTATCCGAAGTGGTTTCTGTATGACAAGGTCCACAAAATAGGAATCCAGTAAGTTGCCCTCAAAAGAAGTGTGAATGCCGACACAGACTCCTTGGCTGGTCAGTTTACCACTGAGCCCTGGGACAAACAAGATGATTCCTCTCAACAGATGACAGACAATGGCCATATTTTACTCATCCCTGCATCCCCAACAGCTCCCACAGTGCCCAGTATATGCACCACATGCTCATGTCTGCTGAATCAAAGAATATCATATGCTCACTCTTCCCGTTGACTCTGGTCCATTGTATGAGCTTAAGTTGTCAAAACCACAGAACAGTAGAAAAGAGAAACATAGTGACCCCCAAATACCAAATTATTGATATTTGAAGTTTTAAATTTACCTATTGCTTTTTTTCTTTTTCTCCAAGTGTCAAATAATCTATGATTACCCTCTGTTCTTCCCACAGTCCTCTTTGTGACAAAGATAGGAGAATAAAATCTGATCTTAATTGTAAAACAGAGACTAAGGGGTTTAAATTGTTTAATGGCATAAAGCCAGCCAGCAGTAGAAGAAGTTCTAGTATAGGCGCTGGCGCAGGATGAATGGCTTAAATCAATGGTTTAAGTCAGCCACCAACCAATCTTCTGCTATGCAGAGGTCAATTCTGAATGTAAAAATATGCCTACAAATAGCACACCAACTTTGTGAATGTGTGCTGGGGGGGAAAAGGGACAAAATAATGCTCACGAAATGAGTCCAAGATAAATAGTACATCCAGCAGATTGATGAGAGAGATACTCAGTTTGCATTCGATCAGGAAAAATAAATACCTGTAAACCGATATGCCTGGAGAATGGCTTTCACACTTTCCTGTTTTGCCTCTAAATCTTTCTGCTCACTTGTCTCCAATGTTTGGTCAGGTACTGCACTGGCAGCAGATGCTTCAACCTGCAAGACAGGCAGCAAATCACACTGGGGACAAGGGAAGATAACACAAAGTCCCTGCCTTCACCTAACTGCAGAAAAGCTAAATACTATTATGTAATTGCATCACGAAATGGTCCAAGTGGCCAGCCTGATAATGTTATGAATTCACAGCAGAGAAAGAACTGTGTGAGTCCCAGTGCAAAGAATCAAGTAGAAACTGTGCTTGCCTGAAGAACCATTAAGATTTTGGTGGGGATGCAAAGGAGGAAGAAAGGGGTGTGAGTAAAGTCTAGGGTGTACACAGTTAAGCCAAACAGATGGTTTGGGAAGAGGCAAGGCTGGAACAGTTGGTTTGGGTCAGACAATGCAAGGTATGAGGTGCCAGGATGGGAAATAGTGACTTTAAGACTTAAAACTTCCAACTATGACACAGATGACAGCATCAGACTAACCCCCCACCCCACCTCACCCCTGAGAACACCTATACCAGATGGCTAAAATACAAAAACAAATACACAAGCAATCAATCAAATAGAAAATGGTTAGACGGTATCAGAGAGAACCAAACATCAGGATGGAAGATTTAAGATAAATGCTCTGAAGTTAGTTGGACTCTCCTACCAGCTTTCCTCCTCAGGGTATTTGCTGAATTGCTTATAAGGCAGATGGCCTAATAGAAAGCTGCAAGCTAGCCTTTGCAGTAGTCTCAGTGTATCAGGGAGACAAAAACTGGAGACCAAGGTTACCAAAGCAGCTTTTCTTTGGGCCATTATTCCATAGAAAAGGGTTCCTAGCTTTCCACATGCTGTTTGCCCTCCCAGCACTGGCCAATTTTAAACTGCCTATGTGTGACTGGGTATTGAGAAACCAAGCAAAAAGAGGAGAGTCAAGATAAAAAGCTAAACAGAGATGTTAGCAATCTCACCATCCTGGGAAAGAAAAATGAAGTTCAGGGCCTGCAAAGGAAGAATGGTCTGATAATATTCGTACAACCATTCTCCCCCAGACTTTCAAGTAAGTCCTGACTAGCAGGCTATTGCAGTAAGCCTGAGCAATAATCAATAAATACTGACTACAGATGTGGATAACACTTGAGCTATGACAGTGATGTAGGGGAAGAAGCAAAAAGGCAGTCTAAAGGAGAAACTGCCAGGTCTTGCTGACAGGACCTAGGCCAGAAAGAAGGCTGAAAAGAGGGAAGGGTTTTCACCCTTGGAGGTTTCAAGTCTGGGTGATAGAAAAGATGGCATTCATGACAAAAGGACCAATGATTCATGTCAGGCTGAGATTGAGGTAACAAGCTTAGATGTCCAAATGGGCAGGTTAAGATACTATTATGAAGAACTCACCTATAAAAAACAAAACAAAACAAAAAAAACACCTCACCTAGCCCATCAATAATGCCTGACAATTGTCAGCTAATAATAGTATTCACTATACTCACTATACAGCGTTGATCATTTGAAGGATCAAGGACGGCAATCCATCCAGTAAGGTCAGAGGCAAAGATGGCACCTTGAGGACTAAGGTGTGCCTAACCCAAGCCAAGGTCTTTTCAATCACCTAATGTACATGCCAAAGCTGGACAATGAATAAGGAAGACTGAAGAAGAATCGATACCTCTGCATTATGATGTTGGCTAAGAATAAATATACTATGGACTGCCAGAAGAACAATTAAATCTTTAGAAGAAAAACAAATACTTTAGAAGAAGTACAGCACATGTTCCTTAGAAGTATTTCATATTAGTACTTTGGTCATGTTGTCAGAAGAGACCAATCCCTGCTGAAGTACATCATGCTTGTTAAAGTAGAGAGTCAATGAAAAGGGGGAAGACCCTCAACAAGACAGACTGACACAGTGGCTGCAACAACGGGCTCAAGCATAGCAAGGATTGTGAGGATGCTGCCGGACCGAGTAGTGTTTCATTCTGCTGTGCACAGGGTTGCTATGAGTCAGAACCAAAGCGACAGCACCTGATACTACCACCAAAGATCAGAGGCAAAACATCTCACATGTTCTTCACATCCTAGGGAAGGCTGGTAACATCCCTTTTTACTCACCCTGGCTTGCCGTTGCTTCACTTCAGCCCTCAGCTTATCGCGTAGAAGTCTCAGTTTATGAATCCTGGTCTCAAGAGTATGTTCCTCTGCCTGTGCTCTCTGTAGCCCTTCAAATTGTTTATGAGATCTGTTCCTTCCAGTCTCTAGTCTTTCCAAGTAAGCTAAAACACCACCTAAGGAAAGTACAAAGGGAATTTCACAAGAAGGCAAGGATTTCAAGGACAGAGGGTGACCATTTTCAGAACTTGTGGCCAGCTAAATTGTTAAGACATTCACCACAACTTATATCCAAGGACAGCATGGGAGACTCTGAATTGTCTACCACATACTGATTACACAGTAGTATTTTATCTAGGTCTACGGTTGACCACACAACTAGCGTGGAAAAGGATGATTCAATGGTTTTATCAGAGATAGATGAAATCTCTCTTAAAAAAAAAAAAAAAAAAAAAACCTCTGTATTTTTAACTATCAGACTTTATTTAACTGAGTTTCTTATATAGATTCAGCATCTATTTTGTAGGGTTCACAGGGACTTACACATATGAAAAACTTAATTTACTTTCCTTGCTTCAGAAAGAGTCAAATAACTTGTCTCATTCACCTATCCAGTTAAGATTAGAAACAAGAACTTCCTCATGGCTGGTTTCAAATCCAGAAAAAAATAGTGTGAGGTCAAGTAGAAACAGACACACATCAGATGCAGAATTGTTTTATTTATTTTTAGCATTACTTACTAACTCCTATTCCCTCTTGTTTTCTCAGGAGCCTTAAGACCATCAGTTACTCCTTTTCTCTTCTTTATATTCAGGCATTTCCTCTCAACTGTATCTTTACAAACCTTCTCAAGTCTCAGCCATCTTCAAATACATACACAGACCCTTTATTTATTTATTTATTTTATAATTTATAAGTGATTTTATTCTCATTATCTTAACTTAAAAGGTATCTGATAATTTGATGTTTGTAAACAGCAATTCAATGTGTACATCTCTCTCTCTCTCTCTCTCTCTCTATCTCTGGTGGCGTAGTACCTAAGGCATTTGACTGCTAACCAGAAGGTTGGAGGTTCAAACCCACCAACCATTCCTTGGAAGGAAGAGTGGGCAATCTAGTTCCATAGAGATACTGCCTCGGAAACCCAAGGAGGGATCGCTATGAGTCGAATCGACTCAATGGCAGTAAGTTTGGTTTGTGTGTGTGTGTATTTTTTTTTTAATTGTAATTTGGGTGAAAGTTTACAGAGCAAATTCATTTTCTATATAGCAGTTCATACACATTTTGTTTCATGACACTGACTGCAATTCCCTACAGTCTAACAGCTCTCTTCCGACTTCCCCCCTATGCATAGTTACCTCTTCCCTGTGTCCTTTCTTCCCTATGCATTCCTGCCCTCTGAGCTATTTTCCTGTATCAATACTGGCCTTCTGTTTTCCCATGCTTGATTGTTCTAAGGAGTGTGCCTACCTGATGTAAATATTCACCCCATATGCCTATTTGGCTAGAAGCCGTGGGAGTGAGTTCAGTTCCAGACCTGAAGGGTAACTAGGGGCCATGGTCTCGGGGGTCTCACCAGGCTCTGTCAACTAGTAAACCTGGTCTTTTTTTTTTTTTTTGAGTTTTGTTCCACATTGTCCTCCCACTCTATCCAGGAACAGACCCATTCGTGCCCACACATCTCCCTCTTGTTATCATCACCTTTTTTCCTCTTTCCTTTGTGAACCAATGTAACCTGTACTTTCTCCACTTCCTTACCTCTTACTCAACCCACTTTAAGCTGACTTCTGCTCCCATAAAATTACTATAGTCAACAATGACTTCCATGTTACTAATTCCAGTTGTTGTTGTTGTTAAGTGCAGTCGAGTCATTTCCGACCCATAGCGACCCTATGCACAGCAAAACGAAACACTGCCCGATCCTGTGCCAGCCCCACAATCCCTGCTATACTGGAGCCCATCATCGCAGCCACCATATCAATCCATCTCCTTAAAGGCCTCCCCCTCTTTCGTCGATCCTCCACCCTACCAAGCATGACATCCTTCTCCAGGGAATGGTCCCTTCTTACAACATGACCAAAATAGGTGAGACGAAGTCTGGCCATTCTTGCTTCCAAGGAGCATTCTGGCTGCACTTCCTCCAGGACAGATCTGTTAGTTCTTTTAGCAGTCCATGGTACTTTCAGCATTCTTCGCCAGCACCACAACTCAAAAGCATCAACTCTTCTTCAGTCTTCCCTATTCATTGTCCAGCTCTCACATGCATACCAGGCGATTGGAAATATCATGGCTTGTGTCAGGCGCACCTTAGTCCTCAAGGAGATATCCTTGCTCCTCAGCACTTGAAACAGTTCCTTCACAGTTGACTTTCCCAATGCTACACATCATCTAATGTCCTGACTGCTGCTTCTGTTGGCAACGATTGTAGAACCAAGCAACGTGAATTCCTTGACAACCTCAATCTTCTCTCCATTTATTGTGATGCTGCTCATTGGTCCAGTTGTGAGGATTTTTGTTTTCTTTATGTTGAGATGTAATCCATACTGCAGACTGTATTCTTCAACCTTCATCAGTAGGTGCCTTAAGTCATCCTCACTTTCAGCAAGCAAAGTTGTATCGTCTGCATATCTCAGGTTGTTAATGATTCTTCTTCCAATCCTGATACCACGTTTTTCTTCATATAGTCCAGCTTCTCGGATTATTTGCTCAGCATATAGATTGAATAAGTGTGGAGAAAGAATACAACCCTGACGCACTCCCTTCTTGATTTTAAACCATGTAGTGTCCCCTTGTTCTGTTCGAACGACAGCCACCTGGTCAAGGTACAGATTCCTCATGAGTACAATCAAGTGCTCGGGAATTCCCATTCTTCTCAATGTCATCCATAATTTGTCATGATCCACACAATCAAATGCCTTTGCATAGTCAATAAAACACAAGTATACATCTTTCTGGTATTCCCTGCCTTGAGCCAAGATCCATCTGACAACAGCTATGATATCCCTTGTTCCACGTCCTCTTCTGAATCCGGCTTGAACCTCTGGAAGTTCTCTATCAATATACTGCTGCAAACGTTTCTGAATTATCTTCAGTAAGATCTTACTTGCATGTGATATTAATGATATTGTTCTATAATTTCTACATTCTGTGGGATCACCTTTCTTTGGAATGGGCACAAATAATGGATCTCTTCCAGTCAGTTGGCCAGGTAGCTGTCCTCCAAATCTCTTGGCATAACTGAGTGAGTGCCTCCAATGGGGCATCTGTTTGTTGAAATATCTCAATCAGTATGCCATCAATTCCCGGAGCCTTGTTCTTCGCCAGTTCTTTCATTGCAGCTTTGACTTCTTCCTTCATTACCATTGGTTCTAGATCATATGCCACTTCCTGAAATGGATGAAGGTCAATCAGTTCTTTTTGGTACAGTGACTCTGTGTATTCCTGCCATCTTCTCTTGATGTTTCCTGCATCATTCACTATTTTGCCCTTAGAATCTCTAAATATTGCAACTCGAGGCTTCAATTTTTTCTTCAGTTCTTTCAGTTTGAGAAATGCTGAGTGTGTTCTTCCTTTTTGGTTTTCAGACTCCAGGTCTTTGCACATTTCATTATAGTAATTGGCTTCCAGTGGACATGTTCTAAACTCCATCATATCTAACCACCCAGTAACATGATTCTACTGCTCCCTACCTTTTAAAACAGTCTCTTCCCTTAATCATATCATACTAGTCTCCTGGTGTTCCTCATTCAACAAATACTTATTAAGCATCTATTCTGCACCAAGCACTTTTCTAGGCACTGGGGACATGGTGATGAACAAGAGACAAATGGCTGCTTTTGTGAAGCTTACATTTTCTCTCTCTGACCTGTTTCAGGCTTAACCTTCTTCCATTTGGCCTCAAAAAGCGCAAATCTAAGGCCTCTTTTCTCCTAAGAAATCTTAGCAATACCTACACATTCACTATCTGTATGTGGATATATCACAAATACATATCTTTAGCTTAGATTTCTTTCCTGAGCTTTAGACTAGGTATCTACTTGCTTTCTCAATGTCTCTACTTAGAAGTCTTAGAGGAACCTGACACTCATCATGTCCAAGACTGAATTCATCATCAATCTCTTTCAAATCCTTCAGTGATTGGGACCATTATCCATCTAGTTGTACAAGCCAGATATTTATTATCATCCTTGATGCTTTCTTCTCACTCCTACCCCCAATCCATCACCAAATCTTAGTATCACTAAAATATGCCCATTTCTCTCCATCTGCACTGCTAGATGTACCTTAAGCCACCATTACCTCTTGTCCTGCTGTAACAGCTTCCTAACTGGTCTCTACACTAGACATATTTCAAAATCTAAATCTAATCATATTACCCATTACCCAGCAGGTTTAAACCCTGCAATGGCTTCCTGCTGCCTACAAGGCCGACTGGCCTCTGCCCACCACTTCTAGCCTCACCTGTATCACATTGCTCTTTCTCTCTGCACTTCTATACAGCATCCTTTCAGGCTTTCAAACCTGCTGGGTTGTTTTACACATGTGATTTACTCCACCTAGAATGCTCTTCCTAAGGCCCTTACCTTTATCTAAATTTACTTTTAGCTCATTCTTAGTACTCACTGCAAATGACATTTCCTCAGGGAAAATTTTCTTCATGTCTCCAGAACAAGGTCAAGTGCCTACTCAAGATTTCAAAGAGCTGTGTTACTTTCCTACTGAGAAAGCATTATCATCTTAACAGTATATTAATTTTTACTGTGATTATTTAATGTTTACCTCACCCACTAAACTTCAAAGAGTCAAAATCAGGGGCCTTGCATGTTTTTATTCACCTATGTACCTCTACTACTTAGAACGATGCCTGACATATAGCCAATGCTCTGTAAATATTTACTAGAAGAATGGACAACCAGGGATGATGCTCTTGGAGAGATTAAGTTCACTTGGCATAAGACTACAGGAAAGTCTATACTACTGTAATAAACACTTTTGCCCAATTTTCTTGAAAAAAGAAAATGTAATCAAATAATAAATTAGTTCTAATAATTAGCATGTACTTATTTTATTAACAAAAACTCCATTTATCCAACAACTATATATTGAAAATCTGTTATGCATCAGTGACTGTGCAGTAAGCTATTCATACTTTGGTGTGACAAACAAAGGCTCTGCCCTCATACAGTTTACAAATATCATTTAACATCCAACTGGGAAATGACTTGAAATGTGCACTAAATTAAGGTGTACCTGTGGATGCTTGGTCAAATTCTACTTTATAAACCTAAAATCCTTTCACACTTAACTATACATGTAATATTTCCCCCTTCCTAAGAAAAAAGATGAAAATAACAAATTGAGACTGCCAACTATTGTTAAGTCTATGTAAATTTTGAATTATTACAAAAAAACATGATAATCAAATTTATGCACCAACCATTAAAGTCAAAGATGAAGAAACTTAAGATATTTACCAACTTTTGCAGTCTGGAATTGACCAAAAATGTAATCAAGATGTATTAATAATTATGGGAGAATAAAAGGGCTGTGTATGCACAGGGAGACAGTTCGGGGGGCAGGAGGGCATGGGAGGGAAGGACACAGGGAAGAGGTAAACTATGGGAAGGAAGTGGGAAGGGAGCTGTTGCATTATGGGAAGTTGCAGTCAATGTCATGAGACAAAGTGTATGTGTGCTGCTATATGGAATGTGAATTTGCTCTGTAAACTTGCACCCAGACCACAATAAAAATTTCAAAAATAAATTTAAAAATAATTTAAAAAAAGATGTATTGATAATTACTGGTGAGTGGAATGTGAAAGCTGGAAACGAAGCAGCATTAGTATTTATAAAATATGGCCGTGGTGACAGAAATGACACCAGAGTTCACATGACAGAATTTTGCAAGATCAATGACTTATTCATTACAAATACCTTTTTTCAACAACATAAACAGCAACTATACAAATGGACTTCACCAGATGGAATACAAAGGAATCAAATGAACTAACTATATCTGTGGACATAGGCAATGGGAAAGCTGAAACATCATCAGTCAAAACAAGGCAAGGGGCTGACTGTGCAACAGATCATCAACTGCTCATATGCAATTCAAGCTGAAGCTGAAGAAAATTAAACTCACAGGAGCCAAAATATGATCTTGATTATATCCCACCTGAATTTAGAGACCACCTGAAGAATAGATTTAATGCCCTGAAAAACAGTGATAGAAGACCGATGAGTTGTGGGATGATATCAAGAACATCATATGAATGCAGCACTGGAAGCACTTACTCGTTTATGCCAAGAAGTCTGGAAGACAGTTAACCTGGCCAACTGACTGGAAGAGATCCGTATTTTGCCCATTCCAAAGAAAGGTGAACAGGATGTGGAAATTATTGAACAGTATCATTAATATCACACACAAATTCTGCTAAAGAGAATTAAAAAACACTTGCAGCAATATACTGACAGGGAACTTCCAGAAATTCAAGCTGGATTCAGAAGAGGGTGTTGAATGAGGGGTATCACTGCTGATGTCAGATGTTATCTTGGCTGAAAGCAATACCAGAGAAATGTTTACCCATGTTTTATTGTATTATCAAATACAAAGGTATCTGACTGTGGATCATAACAAATTATGGATAACACTGCAAAGAATGGGAATTCCTGAACACTTAACTGTGCTCATGGGGAACCTGTACATAGAACAAGAGGTTGTTGTTCAAACAGAACAAGGGGCTACTGCATGGTTTACGGTGCATCAGGGTCGCAGACTTTCACCATACTTTTTCAATCTATATGCTGAGCAAATAATCTAACAGGCCAGACTGTATGAAGAACGCAGCATCATGATGGGAGGACAACTCCCAACAACCCGTGTTATACAGACGACACAACCTTGCTTGCTGAAAGTGAAGATGATTTGAATCACTTACTGACAAAGAACAAAGACTACATTCTTCGTATGGATTACACCTCAACATATAACTGCACTAATAAGCAACATCATGATAAATGGAGAAAAGACAAGCTGTCAGGGATTTCATTTTGCTTGAATCCACAATCAATGCCCACGGAAGCACCCATCAAGAAATTAGAAGACATGCTGCACTGGGCAAATGTGTTGCAAAAGACCTCTTTTTAAAGTGTTAAGGAGCAAAAATATTACTTTGAAAACTAAGATGTGCCTAATCCAAGCCATGGCAGTTTCAACAGCCTCACAGGCATGTGAAAGCTAGACGATGAATAAGGAAGACCGAAAAAGAGTTAATTCCCTTGAATTGTGGTGTTGGTGAAGAATACTGAAAATACACAGATTGCCAGAAGAACAAACAAATCTGTCCTGGAAGAAGTACAGCTGGAATGCTCCTTAGGAGAGAAAGTAGCCAAACTTCGTGTCACCTACGGTAGTCATGTTGTCAGAAGGAACATGCTCTGTAAAGTAGAGGGTCAGCAGAAAAGGGGAAGACCCTCAACAAAATGGACTGACACAGTGGCTACAATGATGGTGTTTTGGTTACCTAGTGCCGTTCTGACAAGAATATACCACAAATGGGATGGCTTTAACAAACAGTTTATTCTCTTACAGCTTGGAGGCTTTAAGTCTGAGTTCCAAGTGCCAGGCTCTAGGGGCTGGGTGAAAGCCCCTCAACCCTGGGCTTCAGCTCTGCCTCCTGCTCCTGGCCCACTGAAGCTGGAGGCTTTTCTTCACTCAGCTGCTGGCTGCTGAGGCTGACAAACCCAAGGTTGACAAGTAACAAGGCACAGTCCCGATATTACCAAACCACACACAGGCTGCAGAACAATGACACAGCTACCTGCAGGGTTCAAGTGTGCCACTAAGTGTTCCCCAAGGATACTCCTTATATATACAGGAAGCAGACCACATCCCTAAGGCAGCTACTCAGCTGCTCATAGTAGATTCCACCATGGAGTTGATTACCAGTCTCATCATGGGGAATACTGCATCCCAGTTGCCCAGACACTCAACCAGGCCCAGCCAAGTTGACACACAAACTGAATTACCACAGATGGGCTCAAGCATAGCAACGTTTGTGAGAATGGTGCAGGACAAGGCAGCACTTCATTCTGTTGTACATAAGGTCACTATGAGTCAAAGCCAACTTGCCAACATCTAACAACAGTAAGTAGACAGTAATGCTTCCAAAGTTTCTGAGATAAACAGCTTGTCAAAACCATGCCAGCTTATTGCTTAATGTTACTACTAAAGAGAAGACAGAAAGGTCCCTATTGTGCCTGCCTGGAATGGCTATATCTCATTTTAACCAGTCAGTTCTCAAAAAAAAAAAAAAAAAAAGTTACAAAAAAGGTCAAAATCCTTCCCCATTTAAGAAATCATCTGGTTGAAACCAAAAGGACTTCAGACTGTTCATATTTGAGAGAATTCAAGTCATAAGCAGAAAACTGAAATTAGTATGGCTGAAACTAGTATGGGTAAAAGCTAAATGTTTAAATATTATTTTGAGTAGAAAATACTTAGACTTTGACTGATCTAAGCCTCTTGCTCATTGTGGTAGTTCAGTTTGTGTCAACTTGGCTGGGCCTGGTTGAGTGTCTGGGCAACTGGGATGCAGTATTCCCCATGATGAGACTGGTGAAATCAACTCCATGGTGGAATCTACTGGGAGCAGCTGAATAATTGCCTTAGGGAATGTGGTCTGCTTCCTATACATATGCAGAAGCCTTGGGGAATGGTCTCTAGTTTATGGCACTCTGAACCCTGCCTGTAGCTGTGTCATTGTATAGCAGCCTGCCATGCTCTGCCAACCTTGGGGCTTAACAATGACTTGAGTTAATGGCCTGCTGTGTAATTTGGTAATATCGGGACTGTGCCTTGTTACTTGTCAACCTTGGGCTTGGCAGCCTCAGCAGCCAGCAGCTGTCTGAGTGAAGAAAAGCCTCTAGCTTCAGCGGGCCAGGAGCTGGAGGCAGAGCTGAAGCCCCAGGCTAAGGGGCTTTCACCCAGCCCCTAAAACCTGGCACTTTGAACTTGGACCTAAAGCCTCCAAATTATAAGAATAAACTCCTGCTTGTTAAGGCCATCCCATTTGTGGTATATTCTTGTCAGGAGGCACTAGGTAACCACAGTACTCATGTAAAACTTCCACCTCACTGCTTATTATAAAATTAACACAATTAGGCTTGATTTTGGCATGCTCCTGATACATAAAGTCACCAAATTTATTTTTAGTCTTAAGTAATAATAATCTTAACCCAGATATTATTATCTAACCTCTCAGCTTAAGTTATATGAATATAGCTAATTCTCAGTATCCATAACAATGACCCAGAGGAAAGGAGGATCATCAAATTCACTGACTCTCTTGGCAATTTTTTTTTTTTAAACTATAGAACTATTTCTAAAATTAGATTTCTTGCAGGTTTTCCCAAAGTCCTAATGCATAACTCTTTGGATTTAGACATCAGGCTTAAAAAGCAATTTGATGTTCTGAAAAGAATTAGTGACACAGGACTATAAAGGTATACACTAATGGGAACTGTCCAAATATTACCGGGTATTAGAAAGAGGAAACAACTTAATCTGGACAGAAATTCAAAAGCAAAATTCAGTTCCCCAAAGACTAAATTAGAACCAGTATCATTATAATAAATGTCAGAGTTCCACTGTGCTCACCAATAAAACACTTACTAAACATCTCCTCGGAAGGAAGGTTGGGCAATCCTACTTCCGTAGTGATACTGCCTCGGAAACCCAAGGAGGGGTCGCTATGAGTCAGGGCTGACTCGATGGCACATAACAACAACAACAAACATCTCCTACATATTAGACACTTGAGCTAGATGCTTCACTTGCAAACATGTAAAAATTATTTACTCAGTATTTCCTATATATTAGGCACATGCTAAATGCTTTACTTGACAAGCATGTTCAAGAATTAAATACTGATCTGATTACCATAATCATCACAACCCTATTACTTACCTCCATTTTCTTTGCCTTGAAGAAATATAGGCAAAGAAAAGTTAAGTATCTTGCCTAAGGCCATATTTATAATGGCAGAGCTAGGATTCAAACTGAGGTCTAACCAAAACAGGGTTACTTCCCCACAATGCCGCTCCCTCAGAAGTAATGGCTAAACAGCCCCCCAAAAGTCCTGGGAAGAGAGGAAAGAGGTCTCATTTGCTAGAATATAAACTAGCTTTGAATATAAACCCTGAGCATATTATGAAAAAAACCTACCAGCTTAAAAAGGGGTACGGGCCTAGAAATATTTCAAGTCTTGTCCAATGATTTTGGCTGCTGGCCCACTTAGGTCTTCACTGTTACTTCCTTTTGCCATTCTATTCCCAAACAGGGCAGGTCACAGATCAGTTACAGGAGGAAAGGGTGCTCTGAGCTTGGGGGTCTCTGTGCAAAAGCTTATAAGGGGGAAACAGTGGGCACTTTGAATACCTCCTCTGGACTCACCATCTTGATGTGAAGTACTGTCTGGCTCCATCATCTCCTCAGATTTCTAAGAGTCTCCCTATGAAGCTGCCAAGGCAAGTGGTAACAGGGACCTAGATTTCCTTGCTAGGGAGGAAAAGAAAAAACAAGGGTTAAATTTTTTCCACTAAATGCATGGTTAATTGCCTTCATGAACAGCTGCCTCCTTTCATGAGACCAAAAGAAGTGGATGGTGCCTGGCTACCATTACTGATCATTTTGATCACAGATTCTACAGAAGAATCTTGATCAAAAGGAAAAAGTGGAATAGAATTTCATATTCTCATGGAATCTAGACTTTCTGGCATCATGGAGGCTGTATTAACCCCTGAAATTATTATCCTGAGATAATCTTTAAACCAAAAATATCCCCTAAAGTCTTCTTTAAACCAAACAAGAGTTTAACTTAATTAATAAGGAATGTCTGCCTTGAGAATTGTGCTCTTTTAATGAACTATGTGTACAGGATCAAAGTGACATCAGCAACTTGAAAGGTGAGATAGGATGCATAGGGGGCAGTGAGATTATGTTAATAGAAGAGGAACAATTCGGAAAAGGGATGAAAATGGTTACACAATATGGAAGAATGTAATATATGTCACTGAATTGTATATGTAGAAATTGTTGAATTGATCTCTGTTCTGCCGTATATATTTTCAACAGCAAAAATAATTTTTAAAAAACAACATCAAAATATCCTAAGAGTGTACTTCCAGTAAGATGAAGGAATAGGCAGACAAGCAACACAGACCCTCTTTAACAAAGAAAAGAAAAATCAATTGATAGAGATACAGAAGATAATCCTGGAGCCCTGAGCTTTGAAAGGAACAAATCCAGAAGTGGATTAGGCACCAACTAGTGGAAAACCCTGAATGAAAACAGCGAGTACAGAGACAGTCGGAGCTGTGGATTGTCAGCTACTCTGACGGGACTAACAGCTGAATATTTCCAAGTGGTGCTGGGACCTGAGAATTGACCTAAAGATCAGCTCTGGTCACCAAGGGCTGCAGGGACAACTATGCTGGTGGCTTTGATTAGGAAGGGAAACAGCCAAGAGGGAGACAACCTGAACTGTTGACTTTCCACTGTCCAGAGGGTGCAGCCATTTTGATTGTTTACAAGCAGCGACCATTTTGGATATTTAAAGTGACTGAGGGTGCAGCCATTTTGAATCTTTACAAGTGGCAACCATTTTCGATTTCAAAGTGATGCATTCTCATTCGGATTCTAGGGACCTAAGAATAGACTCTGTTTGCCAAGGCCGGCAGGGACATACAAGAGGATGACAACAGAAAAGGAAACAGGTGGTGAGTGTATGAGTGCTGTCAACTAGTGAATAGAGGAGCACAGTACCCCGCTTGCATAGATAACATACAAAGAAAACAAAGAAAACGAAAATTGTGGGCAAGTCACTCCAACATACAATCACCAATTAACACAAAACCTCACAATGCCTCAGAGACAACAGAGCATCACAGTCCACACAAAGAAGCAAGAGAAAGCAGGAGAAACAAGGGACCAGGATACAGACCTAAAACACATCCCTGAGGAATACACAGCATTGGAACTCTCTGATAAGGAATTCAAAAGAATTGTATTAGGTCTTCAATGTTACTTCCTTTTGCCATTCTGTTCCCAAACAGGACAGGTCACAGATCAGTTACAGGAGGAAAGGGTGCGCTGAGCTTGGGGGTCTCTGTGCAAAAACTTATAATGAGGAAACAGTGGGCCCTTTGAATACCTCCTTTGGACTCACCATCTTGATGTGAAGTATTCAACAAATTGAGAGACAGATCAAGGAAAACACAGAGAAAACTCCTAGAACAATTTCAAAAGACAATATACAAGAACAAAAATGAAAAATTAGAAATGATACAAAACCAACACACAGAAATCCAGAAGATTAATACTAAATTTTCAGAAATAGATAAGACATTGAATGGGCAAATGAACAGAACTGAATCAATGGAAGACAGAATTACTGAGATTGAAGGCAAATATCTAAACACTTCTTTGGAAAGGGATCAATAAGAAAAAAGATAAAAATAAAATGAAGAAAGCCTAAGGTTCAGGGGGGATACCATCAAAAGGAATAATCTACATGTAATCGGAATTCCAGAACAGGAAGAGACAAATAAAACCACTGAGAAAATTGTCGAAGATTTGTTAGAAGAGAATTTTCCTGGGATGATGAAAGATGAGAATATAACCATTCAGGACATCCAACGAACCCCAAACAGGAGAGAACCCAAAAGAAAAACACTAAGACACATCATCATCAAACCCATAAAAACCAAAGACAAAGAGAGAATCCTGAAAGCAGCACAGAAAAAACGAAGTTACCTACAAGGGGCAACCAATAAGACTAAGCTTGGATTTCTCCACAGAAACCATGCAGGCTAGAAGACAATGGGATGGTATATATAAAACAATGAAAGAGAAAAATTTCCAACCAAGAATTATGTACCCAGCAAAATTGTCCCTCAAATATGATGGTAATATTAGGACATTTCCAGATAAGCAGAAATTAAGGGAATTTGTTCAAACCAGACCAACCTTACAAGAGATGCTAAAGGAAGCCCTTTGGACAGAGAAGCAACAACAGCCAACAACTGACCATTAACATACATGATGATATAACCCAGAAACCAACCCAGCTACGAAAGAATCCAAAGTAAATAAGCCTACAAGATTGTAAACAGGGAACCAGAGACATCAATTGACAAATGAGGTCAACTCTGGTAGCATATTGGCTAAGACACTTGACTGCTAACCAGAGGGCTGGCGGTTCAAACCCACCAGCCACTCCTCGGAAGGAAGATGGGGCAATCTACTTCCACAGTGATACTGCTTCGGAAACCCAAGGAAGGGTCGCTATGAATTGGGTTCCACTCGACAGCACATAACAACAACGAAATAAACCAAAAAGAGGGCAAAAACTGTGTCATGTGTTGTTAAAGAACTTCTGGATGATAGGGATGTCAAGACAACTACAAGATTGAATGGACTGTTCTAAACTTGGGAAGAAAACTATGTATCACAGGGTAACCTCAAAGAAAAATGATAAACCTTCACATCAAAAAAGAGGACCAGCATAAATACTCAGCAAATACTAAAACAAAAGCAATGAAAAAAGTGATAACACAATTCATAAACAAAACAAGCTCAGCACAGAAAATTATATGGAACAAAGAAATCAACACCACGAAAAAGCACGTAACAAAAATGACAGCAACAAATTCATATTTGCCAATAATTAAATATCTGGCAAAGGACTTATCTCTAAAATTTATAGTGTAAGAGTGGATGACCAAACTATGGTACATAGACATAATGGAACGCTATGCAGCACTAAAGAATGAATAATGTAGAGTCTAACACCGCATAATATGGATGAACTTGGAGAACACTGTGCTGAGCAACATAATCAGTCACAAAAGGACAAATACAGTATTAGTTCGTTGTTGTGAAGGGTCAAGGAAAGGTTTATATACGGAGGCAAACTTTCTTTGTGGTTGCCAGGGGTGGCAGGGAAGGGGAGGGAACGCTGAAAAAAAAAAAAAAATGCATTGACCCATTTAAAAAAAAAAAAAAAAAGGGTAATATCCATTCACATTGAGACAAATCCAGGCAGCTGGGCACGCCCCGTTGGTCCCCTGGGTGCCCATGCCATAAGTCCCATTCCGCGACCCACCCAGCCCTTCCCCCTGGTGCGAGTCCGCTACGTCCATGTCTACTTCTCGTTCTCCCTGAGCACTCCTGAGGGCAGGCCCCTCTGCTTAGCCCTCCACCCTAGTCACGGTCTCGTCTATCACTGGATCTTACTTTTCTTACTTCTTGCCTTGCTCAGCCAGTCCAGGGATGTAAGTTCCCGCCTTCCCCATCTTCAAAACTAGCCCAATAGGCCCCAGAGTCCTTTGCGTTTCCACTGTACAAAAACATGGCGGCCCTGGGGGCTCCTCCCCGATCCCAGAATGCACCGGGGAGTAGGCTCAGCCTTTCTGTTGGTCAGGAAGATGGCAGCCTCTAGCGCAGAGCCTCAATTCCTGGTGCAGTACTTGGTGCTACGAAAAGATTTATCACAGGCTCCGTTCTCATGGCCAGCAGGCGCCTTGGTAGCGCAGGCTTGTCACGCAGCCACCGCGGCATTACACCTTCACCGCGACCACCCGCACACAGCAGCTTACCTTCGGGAGCTGGGGCGCATGCGTAAAGTAGTTCTCGAGGTGAGACACACCCCTGCGGAGAGGGAGGGACTCAGACGCCTCCAAGATGGGAAGTGGGTGTAGTCTTGGGTTCTGGGGCCTACCTTCGTGGAATGGGTGTGGCTATTAGGTCTTGGAGAGGATTCCGAGGCCCCAGCTGCTTACTGCCCAGGGATCCATCTCTTAGCTGGGCAGGGTGAGGTTGTGTGAAGAGCAGACATGGGTCCGTTATTAATACGTCTCTGCACCTCTGCGGTCTCATTGGGAACTAGTGACTCCAGCGTCTTTATAGTAGATGTTTGTGTGGGCGGAGGCTGTTGGAATATGACCCCGCCTTGGCAGCTACTTGTGCACTGGTGAGCGTTTCCAAGCCATGCCAAAAAATACTTCCCGCTCGCAAAACCGACCCTGAAGGGTTAAGTATTTAAGGTTCCTTATTGCCGTGGGAGCAGTGCAGGGCGAAATGAAGCATTTACCTGGCTATTCATGCCAAATTGTTTGAAAATAAATGTTAAAAACCCCAATGTAGCATCAGAAATACCAGACACCAGGGTATATGTAAATCGGCATACCTTTTTTTAAATAGCGATAAGGTTTTTGCTGAATACCTGGGTGGCAAATGGTAACGCTCCCTCAGCTGGTAATGACAATGTTGGAAGTTGGAGGCCACACAGAGCCACCTGGGAAGAAAGGCCTGTCAGTGTGCTTCTGAAAAATCAGACATTGATAATAGTATGGGATACAGTTATATGCTGACACTCATGGGGTCACCGTGAATCAGAATTTTACTTTAGGGCATCTGATACCGGGAGAGCAAGGGCTTGGACTCTGCCACATCCAAAGACCTCAGTCCAACCAATTGTACTACCCTGCTGCCTGGTGTTGAAGAAGAAGGAAGGGGAAGCCAGTGGCTTCACTAGGGTTAGTGTCATCCAATGCTGTAACATAATATCAGCCCCTCCATGGACCCCCTCTGTACCAGACCGTACAGAATCCTTGTTGTTGTTGTTGTTGTTTGCCGTCGAGTCGGCCCTGACTCATAGTGACCCCTCCTTGGGTTTCCGAGGCAGTATCACTACGGAAGTAGGATTGCCCAACCTTCCTTCCGAGGAGTGACAGAATCCTTAGTAATGTTTATTATCAATTTTGTAATAGAATGAATAGAATAATATGTGATAAACGTTGTAAATTGCTTAAATGTAATATTTCTTAGATTATATGAATTGTTGTTGTTATTTGCCATCGAGTCGGCCCCGACTCCTAGCGACCCCTCCTTGGGTTTCCGAGGCAGTTATCACTACAGAAGTAGGATTGCCCAACCCTCCTTCCAAGGAGTGGCTGGTGGGTTTGAACCGCCAGCCTCCTGGTTAGCAGTCAAGTGCCTTGGCACTATGCTACCAGAGCTCCCAGATTATATGAATAGTAACTACAAAATTGTTTTGTAAGATCTTTTCAAATTTGAATTACATTATTAGTAACTGAATGGAAGCCTTTTTTGCTTTTTCTTTTTCCTTTAATTATTCATTCTCAAAAAAGTTATTGATACAGGTTCACAAATACTAATTGATTACTACAGTATTGTAGCTGAAATACCAGGAAATTTGACAAAATCAGCCACCACGACACTACTGGTAGCAAGGAAAGCAATAGCATGTGCTTGTAGTACAGATGAAACCACCTGATTTAAGCCTAATTATAATTGGGTAATAATGACAGGTCTGATGCATGCATTAGAAAGTTCAAAAAGTAAGTTAGCATAGTTTCAGCCTTATAGCTATATTGATGCATGTAAGCTGGGCTTATGAAAAAGGTTTTTGTTGTTATACCTAACTACAAGGATTCTTATAAAAAAATAAATTTATGCTGAACCACTGCACAAAAACTTTATTGATAGTCATTTTGGTGTCACTCCCCTCTGACAGTGTCACCAGATATAGTCTGCAGCCCCTGCACCCCCCAGTGACACCACTGGAGAAAGTGAATGTGGCTCTGGCATAAATGAATGGCTGGATTCAATGGATTCAGAGTGGTAATTCCAGCATTCTCTAATTTGATAAGACATGCTTCTAGTTATCTTTGTGCCCTGTGCCTTCATTGGTAAGAAATATATGTTACACAAAATAACTCACTAAGTATCTTTATTTTCTGAGTGATAATGGTGGCATAGTGCCTGAGGCATTTGATTGCTAACCAGAAGACTGGCGGCTCAAACCCATCAGCCACTCCTGAGAAGGATGATTGGGCAATCTACTTCCATAGAGATACCACCTCAGAATCCCAAGGAGGGGTCGCTATGAGTCGAATCGACTCAATGGCAGTGAGTTTTTTTTTTTTATTTGTTTGTTTATAATGGGATTCAGCATGGGTGACAAGAAAGGTTTCAAAAGAATGTGTGAGAATAGTTTGCTCTCCCTTAACTAAAGGAGTGAGAGCTATCACAGCAAAAGGAAAACACTTCCAGGCTTAGGTGGATAGGGCTTAGAGGGGAGTAGGGAGGCAGGGGTTAAAGTGATTTTTTAAATCCTTCCAGTAGTCAGCTCTTACAGTCAGAGCTGGCTGGAGGGTTAGGAGTAGCTGTTGTGAGCGTCAGCCATAAGAGAACTATGAAATGGGAAGAGCATAACTACTGTCAGTTTATATAACATCTCAAGAAGGAAGAGAAAAAAATTTGCATTTTATATATGGGAATCTTAATTCTCACGTCCACTCTGCCCCAAGCAGCTTACCTAAGATCCTACAGTGAGTGAATGGTGAACCAAGGAATGGCAGTGTTGCTCCTGGAGACATGCTCTACAGCCCCTTCTTTGGTAAAGCTGTCCCTCCACTTTCAGTTAAGAGGAAGCCTCCTTTATCTGGTCATTTTGACACTTCCTAAATGGACTGTTCCATCTGTGTTCTCCCCGTAGGCCCCAGATGAGAACACCCTAAAGCAGCTGGCTGAGACCTTGCAACAGAAGAACATCGACCACATGCTGTGGCTGGAACAGCCAGAGAATATCCCCACTTGCGTTGCACTCAGGCCCTACCCCAAGGAGGAAGTGAACCAGTATTTGAAAAAGTTCCGATTATTCAAATGACTTCTGTTACTGATTGCTTTGATCAGCTGAACCCAGAAACAGCATGCCACCCACCCCTAAATGTCCTACTTTCAATGTCAGCTTGCTCTTCCTTTTAAGTTATAACAGTGTGTCTGAGGGTCAAACACATGATCATATTAAAATTGTCATTAATAAGTACTTCCTCTGTTCAGGTTTATGGGTCATCGTTCAAACAGAAGATTTGGTTAGATTCCAGACAACAAATGCTGGCAAGGGTGTGGAGAGTTTGTAACCCTCACACACTGCTGGTGGGACTGTAAAATGGTACAACCACTGAGAAAATTGGTATGACATTTCCTGAAGAAGTTGGAAATAGAAATACCATATTATCCAGCAATCCCATATATCCTAGAGAAATCAGAGCTGTGACACGAACACATATATGCACCATACCCACATATATCCACCATACCATCCAAAAAGATGGAAACAACCTAAGTGCCCATCAATGGATGAATGAATAAAGGAATGTGCACGCAATGGAATACTACATACCATTAAAGAATAATGATGAATCAGTGAAACACCTCATAACGTAGATGAGCCTAGATCTGGACATTATGCTGAGTGAAATTAGGCAATCACAAAAGGACAAATACTGTATGAGACTACTATAAAAAGTTAAGAAAAAGTTTACACACAGAAAGAATCATTCTTTGAAGGTTACCAGGGATGGGAGGGGAAGAGAGGGTAAATCACTAACCAGAGGGTAGACACATACTAACTTAGTGAAGGGAAAGGCAATATGCAGTAAGTGGAAGGTCAGCACAAAATGATCAAGGCAGTGGAACACTCAACAAGAGTTAAAGAAAACAAGTGAATACTATTACATACACAATCATACAATGACGGATAATAACAATCTATGAGTGGATACATAGACACTCAAGCTGAGCTGGGGTGGAAGGCAAATGGGTCTATACCCACAAATGTGTAAAGGTTTGGCAGAGGATTGTTGTTAGGTGCCATCGAGTGGGCTCCGACTTATAGCAACCCTGTGTACAACCGAACGAAACACTGTCTGGTCCTGTGCCATCCTCACAATTTTTGCTATACATGAGCCCAATGTTGCAACCACTGTGTCAGTCCATCTTGTTGCGGGTCTTCCCCTTTTTTGCTGACACTCTACTTTACTAAGCATGATATCCTTCTTCAGTGAATACTTCCTTCTAACATGACCAAAGTAGGTGAGACGAAGTCTGGCCATTCTCACTTCCAGGGAGCCTTCCAGCTGCATTTCTTCCAGGAAAGCTTTGTTCATTCTTCTTGCAGTCCATAGTAGTTTCAGTATTCTTCGCCAACACCATAATTCAAAGGCATCAACTCTTCTGCGGTCTTCTTTATTCATTGTGCAGCTTTCACATGCATATGAAGCAATTGAAAATACCATGGCTTGGGTTAGGCACACCTTAGTCTTCAAAGTGACATCTTTGCTCTTCAACACTTAAGAGGTCTTTTGTAGCAGATTTGCCCAATGCAATACAAGTCTGATTACTGCTGCTGCTACAGGTGTTGACTATGAATGCAAGTAAAATGAAATCCCTGCAACTTCAGTCTTTTCTCCATTTATTTATCTGATACTGCTTATTGGTCCAGTTGTGAGGATTTTTTTTTTTTAATGTATGAGGTGTAATCTATACAGCAGTTTTTAATCTTCATCAGTAAGTGCTTCAAGTCATCTTCACTTTCAGCAAACAAGGTTGTGTCATCTGCATATCGCAGCTTGTTAACGATTCTTCCTCCAATCCTGATGGCACATTCTTCTTCATGTAGTCCACCTTGTCAGATTATTTGCTCAGCATGCAGATTAAGTATTGTGAAAGGATACAATCCTGATACATGCCATTCCAGATTTTAAACTATTCAGAATTCCCTGTTCTGGTCAAACAACCACCTCTTGGTCTGTGTAGAGGTTACCCATGAGCACAATTAAGTGTTCTGGAGTTCCCGTTCTTTACAATGTTATCCATTATTTGTTGTGATCCACACAGTTGAATGCTTTTGCATAGTCAATAAAACACAAGTAAACATCTTTCTGGTCGTGTTAGACTGGGTTCTCTAGAGAAACAAAAAACAGCAAAGCTTAGAGAGAGAGAGAGAAATTTATCTTAGGAAAATGGCTCACAAACGTATAGAAGCCAGCAAGTCCAAAGTCCCTGGATCAAACCTCAAGCTGGAGGCTTTTCCTGGCTCCCGCAACCACAGAGGCCGAGAAGCTCAAGGCTGGCAGGCAGTACACCAGCTATCAACTCCAACGAATGACGAATCCAAGATCTCCAGGCCGAATGGTGGACTGCTCACTCACAGACAGTTGTAGGCAGCACAACGGAATCCTGATCCACAGAAGAATGTCTCTCTTCCCAGGATGTCCCTGGATATCCTGGAAGCAGGCCACATCCCTAGGGAAACTCCCCTTCAACAGATTGGCCACTCAGAACACAGTCATCCGATCCCATCATGGGAACGGCCACACAGAACTGGGGCCCAGCTACACAGCTCCAACTATCACACTGGTATTCTTTGTTATCAGCCAAGATCTCTCTGACATCAGCAATGATATCTCTCATTCCACATCCTCTCCTGAATCCAGTTTGCAGTTTTGGAAGTTCCCTGTCAATATACTGCTATAACTTTTTAAATTATCTTCAGCAAGATTTATTTGTGTGTGATATTAATGATATTGTTTGATAATTTCCATATTCTTTTGGATCAGCTTTCTTTGAAATAGGCACAAATATGGATCACTTCCAGTTAGTTGGCCTGGTAGCTAGCTGTCTTTCAAATTACTCACATAGACAAGTAAGTGACTCCAGTGCAGCATCCTTTTGCTGAAACATCTCAATGGGTATCCTGTAAATTCTTGGAGCCTTGTTTTTGTTTTGTTTTGTTGCCAATTTCTTTAGTGCCGCTTTGACTTCCTCCTTCAATACCATTGGTTCTTGATCATATGCCACCTCCTGAAATAGTTGATCATTCAACTGATTCTTTTTGGTACAGTGACTCTGTGTATTCCTTCCATCTTCTTTTGATGTTTCCTGCATCATTCAATATTTTGCCCATAGAACCTTTTGTTATTGCAACTTGAGGCTTGAATTTTTTCTTCAGTTCTTTCAGCTTGAGAAATGCTAAATGTGTTCTTCTTTTTTGGTTTTCTAACTCCTGGTCTTTGCACATTTCATTATAATATTACTTTGTCTTCTTGAGCTGCTCTTTGAAATCTTCTGTTTGGCTTTTTTATCTTGTCATTTCTTCCATTTGCTTTAGCTACTCTCCATTCAAGGGCATGTTTCAGAGTCTCTTCTGACATCTATTTTAGTCTTTTCTTCCTTTCCTGTCTTTTTAATGACCTTTTGCTTTCTTCATGTATGATGTTCTTGATGTCATCCCACAATTTGTCTGGTTTTCAGTCATTGGTGTTCAATGCATCAAATCTATTCTTTAGATGGTCTCTAAGTTCAGGTGAGATATAATCAAGGTCATATTTTGCCTCTCGTGGACTTGTTTTAAGTTTCTTCAGCTTCAACTTGAACTTGTATATGAATAATTGAGAGTCTGTTCCACAATCTGCTCCTGGCCTTGCTTTGGCTGAAGATATTGAGCTGCTCTATTTCCTCTTGCCACAGCTGTAGTCGATCTGATTTTTGTGTATTCCATCTGGTGAGGTCCACATGTATAGCTGCCGTTTATGTTGTTGAGAAAAAGTATTTGTAATGAAGAAGTCATTGGTCTTGTGAAATTCTATCATGCGATCTCCAGTGTTATTTCTATCACCAAGGCCATATTTTCCAACTACTTGTTATTCTTCTTTGTTTCCAACTTTTGCACTCCAATCACCAGTGATAATCAATACATCTTGAATGTGTGTTTGATCAATTTCAGACTGCAGAAGATGGTAAAAATCTTCAACTTCTTCTTCTTTGGTTTTAGTGGTTGGTATATAAATTTGACTAATAGTAGTATTAACTGGTCTTCCTTGTGGGTGTGTGGATATTTTCCTGTCACTGATGGCATTGTACTTCAGGATAGATCTTGAAACATTCTTTTTGATGATGAATGCAATTTGTCATTCCCAGCATTGTAGGCCATATGACTGTGTGATTCAGAATGGCCAAAAACAGTCCATTCCAGCTCACTAATGCTAGGATACCAAACTTTATGCATTCCATTTCATTTTTGACAACTTCCAATTTTCCTAGATTCATAATTCATATATTCCATGTTCCAATTATTAATGGATGTTTGCAGCTCTTTGTTCTCATTTTGGCAAAGGATCTCTCTACATATGTATTTATATGTGCCGCATATATATCCATGAATGTCAATGGCAGTGAGTTTGGTTTTTGCTTTAGTAGAGCATAGGGGACAAAACTATGAAAACGTCTTCATTATAACTAAGAACCTGGGCCTGGGGGTCCAGGATCATAGTCTCAGAAGACACTAAATCAATGAACAATAACATCGTCTGCAAAGACAGTGTTCTACATCCTGTTTTGGTGTGTAAAGACTGGGGTCTTAAAAGCTTGTGATCAGCCATCTGAGGTATAACTATTGGTCTATCACTGTCTGGAGCAAAGAATAGTGAAGAAAATCAAAGATGTAAGGAAACAATTAGTCCGAAGGATTAACTGACCATGTGAACTGCAGCCTCCATGACCCTGAGACCAGAAGGAAGGATGAAGGGAAGTAGTGGAAGTGGGGAGGAAGTGGAAAGGGTGTTGTTGTATTGTAGGGATTGTAGCAAATGTCAAAACAGAATGTGTATGGATTATTAAATGGAAAACCAATTTGCTCGGTAAATTCACTCAGATCATAGTAAAAAAAATTTAAATAAAAAATAAAAGAAATCAAAAGCATAAAATAGACCAGAATTACTGGTCTGATAAAGACTGGTGGAACCCCCAAGACTGTGGCCCTTAGACACTCTTCAAGCCTGGGACTGAACCCACTCCAGGATCACTTTCAGCCAAACAATAGGCCTA